GCAGCAGGAAATGTGAGAAGAGAAAGAAGGTCACGACCTACGACAGAGGAAATGTTAGATGAGGGATTGGGTGACAGCAGAACTTAGAACAGACCAGAATGTTCCTGTGGAAAAAGCACTTTGTTTTCTTTCCTCCCTGATTGGTTCAGGTTGTGAGCAGGATCTCCAAAGTCTGGTCTCTGACCCGTTATCCTTCTGCTTCATTGTCAGATCCAGTGTCGATCCACGCTGCGTATCTCTGGTCTGGTACCATCGGCGTACTGGTGCGGTCAGGCAGCGGTGGACATTCCCTTCTACTACCTCATCCTGTCCTCCATGACCCTCATCCTCTTCTCCTTCCACACTGGGAGCCTGCTCACTTCCAGCAACCTGACAGCTCTGGTCTGTGGCCTTCACACTGTACAACTGAAGGTCCAGTGAAATGTTGTTCCTCATCCTCTCATCCTCCTCCTCCTCCCCCTCCTTGTCTCCTTTAGGTCCTGTGCATCATTGGCTTTGGTCCATCAATGATCCTCTTCACTTACGTCTTCTCCTTTGGTTTTGCTCGAGTCCAGAGCAGCAGAGATTTCTTCTCTGTCATCTGTATGATGGTGAGACATGAAGCTTCTGAGCTTCATCTTCTTTGTCATTTTTTTAACTTTTCCTCTCCTGACGTGTGGACCTGTTCCTCAGGTCAGTGTGGTGTCAGCTGTTCTGATCCAGCTCTCTAATTTAACCGACAACACGGGTCTGGTCCGGAACCTGCACAACATTCTGTGTTTCTTCAACCCTGTCTATCCTCTGATGGGCTGCTTCAACTGTGTCACTAAAGTGAGACCATCCACACGTGCTAAAGCTCAACATTAGCTAACTGTTAGCTATCCAAAGGCTGACATTCAGCCACTGATGTAAAGTAGAAGTCTGATGTTTTCTTCATTCTCAGACCACGTTCCTGCCTTCCGACTATGAGGAGACCCTTCTGTGGAAGAATCTGCTCATTGCAGTTATAGCTGTAGGTTGCAACATTTTTATGCACCATCTGGTGGCGCCGTTGTACTGAAGGTATTTTGACCAGTGCTTGTGTTTGTTCAGCCTTACCTCCAGATCATCCTGCTGCTTTGCCTTCTCCGGTGGCTGGAGGTTCGTTATGGAGGGAGGACCATGAAAGACGACCAGTTCTGCAGGTGATAAACTGATATGGTGCTGTGTGGGTCTGTCCACAAGGGGGCGTACATTTCGAGACAATCACTTTCTGTAGCTCCTAGCTTTTGTATGCCCTCTAGTCAAATTTATAACCAATGTGTGAGAGGACAGTGGATAAAAACCAGGAAACAAGGAGCCTTCTCCCTGTGGCCCCGCCCATGCCCCGCCCCCACATTACTGTTCCAAAGTTTGATGTTTGTATTAAAATGTTCACAGAATTTCCTCCAAGTCAAAGTCCAAAGTGGAGAAGTTTCCAGTGGAAGAGCAGAATGAAGACGAAGACATTGTGATGGAGAAAGCGCGCGTTAAGGAGGCTCTGACCTGTCAGTCATGTGACCTGGTGAGTTCACCACTTCATCAGTTATTGTTGTAAATCCACTGTGTATTTTTAGGAACTTCAAACATTTGTCTCTCTGTAGAAACCAGCCCTGGTGGTCAATAACCTGAGGAAACAGTACAAGAGCAGAGGAGAAGGTTTGTCCATGAACAAGAGCAAAAACGTCGCCACCAAGAACATTTCCTTCTGTGTGCGCAAAGGTAACGGACCACAAACTACCACACAGACTACAGCCCACATAGACCACGGCCCACACAGACTACAGCCCACACAGACTACAGCCCACACAGACTACAGTCCACACAGACAACGGCCCACACGGACTACGGCCCACACAGACTATGGCCCACACAGACTATGGCCCACACGTACTACGGCCCACACGACAGACTACAGCCCACACAGACTATAGCCCACACAGACAACAACCCACACACACTACAGCCCACACAGACAACAGCCCACACAAAGCAAAAACTACAATCAAACTACAGTTACGCACCGTCTGATGTTTACTCAGGTGAAGTTCTGGGACTTTTGGGACCAAATGGAGCAGGAAAAAGTACCATCATGCACATGTTGTCAGGTGACACCGACCCAACTTCTGGCCAGGTACCACAGAAGTGACTTAAGTAGGAAATAAAATCTGTTTCAATGAAGAGTCATGATTGTTTTTTTTTCCCAGGTGCTGATGGGAGATTACAGCACCACCTTTAATCCTGTCGACCACCCACTGGAGCATGTGGGCTACTGTCCACAGATGAGCCCTCTGTGGCCCAGAATCACACTGCAGGAACATCTGGAGATCTACGCTGCCATCAAAGGCATGACAGAACAGGAAGTTCCGGGCATCATCAGACGGTGAGTCTCAAGCTGTGCTTTAATGATCTCTGGTTTAGGTCTGCAGAGGACAGATCAGGGCCTAATGTTCGTCCTCTCTGTGTCAGTGTGGTCAGCGCTCTGGAGCTGAAGGACCATCTGGACAAACAAGCCAAGACTCTGTCTGCAGGAGTCAAGAGGAAGGTGAGACCTGGGCCACAGAAGTGGCCCAGCTCAGATTGCTGAGTCAACGTAAAGATGAAGCTAATGATAACTGTGTTTGTTTACAGCTGTGCTTTGCCCTGAGCATGATTGGAAATCCACAGATTGTTTTATTGGACGAGCCGTCGTCAGGGATGGACCCAAAGTCCAAACAGCGCATGTGGTGAGTACAGTCAAAGTCCCTTTATGTCTTTAGGTCTGGTACATAAATTCTTACCACTGTTAGTTTTAAATAAATGGGCCCAAAGTTGGTAACATTTGTTGATAGGTAATCAAAAATTAGGCAAAATTTCCAAAAGCAAAATAGTAAAACGAAAAATTCAAAAGCAAAAAATGTCTTTAATACCTATAAAGTTAGCCAAGAGTGTCTGTGTAAGCCTAGATCTGAAAAATGCAAAAATTAGCAAAGATGCAATAAAGGTTTGCCCAGAAATGATTTTTACGTTAAGTCCAGAAATGGTTGAAGGCTAGTTTGTAAATCTATCATAGATATGATGTTGAATTAAGTATTGCTTGTTGTCACTCTTTTCCAGGCGAGCCATACGGGCTGCGTTCAAGAACAACCAGCGCGGCGCCGTCCTCACCACCCACTACATGGAGGAGGCGGAGGCTGTGTGCGACCGCGTGGCCATCATGGTGTCGGGTCAGCTGCGCTGCATCGGTTCCATCCAACACCTGAAGGCAAAGTACGGCCAAGGATACAGCCTGGAGGTAAAGCTCCGAGACGGGCTGACAGGGCGCCAGCAGGAGGCGCTGCTGCACAAGGAGGTGCAGGAGATATTTCCTCACGCCATCCGCCAGGAGAGGTGAGATGCCGCAGAGACAGAGAGGCACGTGGTCTACTGTGATAGGAGGACGATTTCAGAGCAGTTCTAATGTCTGTCACTGCTGTGTTTGTAGTTTTAACACTCTGATGGTTTACAAGATCCCAATGGAGGACGTGACGTCACTGTCCAGGTCTTTCTCTGAGTTAGAGAGAGGTGATGCACACACATACACATACACATACACATACACACACACACACACACACTGTTACTCATGATAATGTGTTTTTGTTTTCAGCCAAACAAACGTTCAACTTTGAAGAGTACAACTTCTCCCAGTGCACGTTAGAGCAGGTCAGTGTCATAAACACTCTTTTAGTACTGCTGTTAGCACCTGTTAGCACCTCCATGTGCCTCGTGTGGTTATTGTGTGTCACTGAAGGAAACAAACGTCCATGATTTGAAAAACAAAGCTAAGGTGAGTCCCATGTGGCCTGATGGTAAACGGACTGTTTTCTCTCTGAACTCTGGTTCTTGAAGCACAGACGTTTACAGACCTCACTTTTGTTTTTTTCTTTTTTAACCATCCTGCTTCTTCCAACTTAGGTTTTCCTGGAGTTTGTAAAAGAGCAGGAAAACGAGGAAGACGATGTGGGTTCCCTGAGCACCACCTTCCAGTGGCAGCGTCTCCAACAGGACGCCTCCGTCTCGTTGGCCAATCAGGGGGACAGTATCGTACACCAGCTTTAGACTCCACCAGAGGGAGCAAGACCAAATACATCCTGCTGGGAATCGCATGTCAACTGCAAGCCTGGTGGACAGAAGTGGGTGAGCACCACTGGCTGTTAATGGTCACAACACTGCCCCCTCTCTGAGGCTCTGAGGTTAGCGTGCATTTGACCTCCCTCACTGGTGCTGCGTTGGTTTTTGACAACCGCTCGACTTTTTAACCTTTACCAATATCATTATAAGCGTTGACGTTCGTTGGCCTAAAGAGGGCGCCGTAAACAAGCACACAGGTCTAATCAGTTTTGATATTTTTGTCTGTTAAAGGTGGTGGTGGTTTTCTCAAATGTAGCATCTTCGCAGCACAGGTCTCTATGAAGTCCTGAAGCCCCGCCCAAACCTCCAGCCCCATCACAGGCTGCGGAGTTGTGCTTTATTGGAATGTCTTTAAAAAATTGTCTTTATGCAAACAGTGGATAAAAGTGGGATGAAATACAGTACCTTAAAGTACTTCAGTTCTGTGTCCTGAGCAATGCTCTGGACTCATCTATCACTACTTTTCTCCCTCACCTCCTCTGGACCACCGGTCTTCACTGACCTTCTGGAGGGATCTTCTCCTTCCAGTCCTCCACACATGGAAACATTTTTTCTCCAGCCTTATGAGCATCAACTGGATTGAGGGAGGAGGCGGAGCCTAAGGCAAGCCCTTCCTAAGAAAGTGAGTCTGAACTGAGACACGGCAGAAGAGGGCAGTGACTGTGGGCCTGTGGCCTTCCTCTCACACACAAACACAAATATGTAGCACATTTTGACCTCACCTACAGGGGGCAGTGTTCAAGAACGTGGCCTGGGTTCATGTTTTTTTGAATAGTTGGTGTTGGGGCTTGTGACATACAGCCCTCTGTTTGTGAACTAATCGATAAATTGTAATTTTTCAGGCAAACATAAAATCAATTTTCACACTGTATTGTAATGTATTTTGAAACATTAAAGGAGGTTTTTATTTTCAGATAAAAAATAAAGATTATGTTAAGTAGGAAAGTAAAAAAGTATGATATTGATTTATTTATTCTGAATAAAGATGGCAGGGACTTTTAATTTATGTCTGATTTTCTCTTAGTTTATCTTTTGTTTGGAAACATCAGTCCACATCAAGAATTTTTTCATGCAAAAAACTACAGTTATTGTTGATATTTCCTTTTGAATGTTATTTATTTTTTTTGCTTTGTACATATGTAGCCTCAGTCTGTCTGACATTTTGTTTCACTTACACACACCCACTGTCAAACATCTGTACGTGTCACAGTCGTATGTAGCCGTGGGAAAATAAAAGTCCAGGAGATTTGCTGGTGTATAGTTTTTTCTTCTTCCAAAATTAAAAGTATTTCACAGGGGAAAAAATACAAAGTAAAACCAAAATATTTTCTTTAGTGTCAATTTCTTTAGTTTTTATTTCTGGTCGTGTTGCACAAATGGAAATATTTGAACCTTTCTTTACCTTATGCAATTTTCTTGAAATGATCTGTGCAACCGATGATCGGTTCCATAGTGTAGCGGTTAGCACGCCTGCCTCTGAAGAGCAGAGAGTCCTGGGTTCCCAGAGAAACCACATGATTGGCACTTGCTGAGGGAAGCCTATTAACAGCATATCTGCTGCTAACACAGCAATCTGGGATATATGGGTACTATTTATTTATTTTATTTTTTACTGAGTTTATTTTTAATACTGTGGTTTCAGTTGTGTGGTTTGTTTTCTGGTGATGTAAATAAAACTTGTGTGGTTGGTTGAGTGAGAGAAACCTTGAAATAAATAAATGTGCTTCTAAATATTTACGACTGTTTATTATTACTTCAATCGGTCTTGATTTTTTATTTACTAATAACTTAAAAAGGAAAAAATTTAATAAAATTCAATCGATATATATTTATATATATCGATATTTATTTTTTTCAACCTATTATTAAAGGTTTACTGGTAAAAAGAAATACCAGAAAAGAGTGAAAATCCAGCTCGGCCTTAACCAATTATTATAGCGGTCTTCACTGCCCTCTTGTGGTCTTGAAGAAAAGTGGCAGCCTTCGCTGTAGATCAGGGGTGTGAAACTCATTTTCACAGGGGGCCACATCAGCAATACAGTTCCAATTGAAGGGCCGGTTGTAACTGGAAGACTGTATAGATCAGGGGTACCCAACCCCCGGTCCGCGGACCAGTACCAGTCCATAGGTCATTTGGTACCGGGCCACAGTGGGACACAATGGAAAAATGTACTTAATCTTTACTAATTTACTTCATTCAAAGTAAATCATGTCAGATCCATTTATTTTCTTTATTTAAAGATAATCTGGCAAAAGATAATCTAAATTTAAAATAATAAGTCATTCAGACTCTGATACGAACAGAATTGAAGTCTAAAAGGTGTTTTATTTTGACAATTTAATGATCCTTCGATGCTCAGTACCTTGCTACTGGTCTGTAGTAACTGGTAGTACTGGCTGACCAGTCCTTGGAACAGAAAAGGTTGGGGACCACTGGTATAGACTCCATAACAGACGTGACAGACATGTTTCTGCAATTGATTATTATTTAATTGATTATATAAGCTTTTTAATTTCTCAGGTTAAGAAATCAGGTTGGACTTTACTAAATGCTTTTTAAGCTCCCCTGAGCCACACAATGACATTAAGTTGATATAGATATAGATATATATATATACAGAATACATATATATATATATATATATATATATATATATACACACACATATATATACACACATTTATATTTGCTACAACGTTTGTAACATTGTGTGGCTACAATGGCACAACTTTCTCTCAAGCGAAGGCTGCCACTTTTATGCAAGACCACAAGAGGGCACTGAAGACCGCTATAATAATTGGTTATGAACAACATGAACACATTTTACCAGTAAACCTTTATATATATGTGTGTGTGTTACACTTAATTATTTGTGTTTTGTAGCGGGCGGGTGTAAATAAGGTGAAAACGCCGGTTTAATTAGTAGCTTTTTAAATCACCTTGTTTATTTTGAAAGGGTACCGAAAATAATTTTAACATTAAAGTGAACTTAACGTTCATTTTCCTGTAGTGTCGGACTGCGGCCACAGGATAGCAGTGCGTCACCATATACGTCATAGCGCTGACATGACGTTCTACACTAATAAACTGTATTTATTTTGACTCGGTGTGTGACGTAGTTTGCTTTTTAATATTAAAATACAACATTCATAAAGCAGCGTTTTTTCTTTGTCACTGCTTGTGTGTTGGTTCTCGGCTCCCGTTCTTCCGCCCGAATGTGGGTGTGGTCAACTCGCAGCAAAAATGGAGGAGAGGTTTCTGTTGTAGCTGCTTAAAGTTTGAAGATTGATGTAAAAATAATCACAGAAATCGCGGTCGTTGTTCTTGTTTTCTTTTCTGGTGGCAGACCGGGGCTGTGATGCTTTATCACCATGGGAAATATATTTGGAAAAAAGAAACAGTCGCGTGTGACGGAACAAGACAAAGCGATTCTGGTGAGTGACACAGCTCTTAGCTAACGTTAGCGAAACTGTCAAAGCCCTGACGCTGAAACCTCACTGAGGAAACTATCATTTCAAACAAACAGTGGCTCTGTAACTGCTGGGAACACAACAAGAACAACCAACCGTGGACTGATGTTTAGTTTAAGAAGCTCAATTTCAGTTCGGCATAAATATTTTTGACATTCTCAATGGTCAGTGGTTTTCGTCGTTTTGGGATATATTTTGAAAAAGTGTTTGGCCCTGAGCTGCAACAGGTTAAGTCCTACTGCCTCCGCCGATATTAGTGATGAAACCACTTGGAAGTCGACTGATAGTCACTTCAGGGAAATATGCAAACCCTGATGTTAGATGATTATTAGTCTTTTTGAAAAGTCTTTACACTGAGCTCTGTTTACGTTGACGCCTCTCTTGGATCTTCTGCAGCAACTGAAACAACAGCGAGATAAACTGCGACAGTATCAGAAGAAGATCAACCTGCAGCAGGACAAGGAGAGAGTTTTAGCCAAACAGCTGCTGAAGGATGGAAAGAAAGAGTGAGAAAATCAACTTTGTCTTTATTGTTAATTAAATATGGCCGTCGACCTTAACATTTAAACAGTGTCAAATACTAAGCACATAAACACAATTATTTGTTTTTTTATCTACTGTTTTAAAAACAACCATTTTCCTGCAGCAAAGCTCTGCTGCTGTTGAAGAAGAAACGTTACAGGGATCAACTCCTGGACAAGACCGAGAACCAGATCAGTAACCTGGAGCATCTGGTGAGCCCAGATCTGACCGCTGCCGCCATCATTACAGTCAGTCCCACTGTTGTTGTGGTTCAACCTGAGGCTCTGCTCTGCTCCCGTTTCAGGTCCAGGATCTGGAGTTTGTTCAGATTGAGAAGAAAGTCATTGATGGCCTGAAGGTCGGAAACGAGTGTCTGAAGAAGATGCATGAGGTTAGTGAGCGTCATGTGACTGATGAGCTCAGGTTTACGACTGTGATGTCACTAATGTTGTCTGACCTCTGCTGCCCCGTCAGGTCATGTCCATTGAAGAAGTGGAGCGGATCATGGATGAGACTCACGATGCCGTTGAATATCAGCGGGTGAGTGGCACACGCTGCAGTTACACCTGAACTCTGTGAAGTTCTTCTGGGACTGGTACTGTTGAATGGTCACTGATGGGAATGTAACAATGCTGCCTGATCTCTAAAAGTCACCATGACACTACACTCTCTGGTCCAGTAGGTGGCAGCAGTGTTGAAGCCTCACCTTTGGTAACTTCAGTCTAAGTGTGTCAGTTTCCTTTTTTCTCAGCAAATCGATGAGATTCTCGCCGGCTCCTTGACGCCAGAGGATGAAGAGGCCGTTCTGGCCGAGCTGGAGGCCATCACTCAGGTCAGTGTGGTCATGTGACCAGCAGCCTGGCACCTCACGCTCCCTCTCTTTTCTTATCTACGTTACATTTTTGAATGAATTATTATTTTTTGTTTATTCAGGGAGAGATGGAGCTTCCTGATGTTCCTGCAGAGGAACTGCCCGAAGTCCCCGAAAAAGAACCAGGTTGGTTCTCTTTGACTCTTCAGTACCGGCCTCCTGTCTTTAACATTTGACCTCTGATGGCGTCTTCATGCTCAGAATGGTCTTCTCTCATCACCTTTGATCAGATGTCCTCAATAATTTGATTATTTCACTCTGTGGATCAAACCTTTGACATCGTTACCGTTAATTAGAACGGGTTCTTTCTAAATCTCTGATTGATTGATTGATTGATCAGTGGTTGATCGGTATCAGCCCTCCAGTCTGCTGCTGCTCACCGTGAAGCTCAACATGTTTGTGTTTCAGAGAGAGAACGTCCCAGGAAGAAGGCTCAACCGGAGATGCTCGCTGCGTGATCACATGACCATCCTGCAGGATCTGGACTCTGATCTGCTGCTGCTGCTGCTGCTGCTGCTGCTGCTGTGATGTTTGATACACAACCACCAACAGACTCAGTGACCGACAAACACAGTTCAACTGCAGCCTGAGGAGACAGCAGGATGTCCTTCCTCCTCCTCCTCCTCATCTGCTGCCAAGTCCAAACCTGAAGGAGCAGAGCTAAACAAACCTGCAGCTGCGGAGGAGAAACACACCCATACTGTACAGAATGAGTACTAACATCTCATATATTAAAGGGATAGTTTTACTTTTTTTAAATGTGTTTGTGTGAGAAAACTGTCACTGAAGCTGCACTGCAGTGTCCACAGCCCACAGGAAGTTTGATTGAAGGTGGAGGGCAGAGACCAGGTTTACAGTTTTGTGTGTGTTTTGATATTTGTCAACCTTTTTCTACACAGAATCTCATAGAGAAAACCACAGGTTTTACATTACAGCCCACAGCAGTTGTTGATACACTGCTGCCTCCATCACTACGTTCTAAAGTGTTACTCTGTGACCTCTGTTTGGAATTCTGTTTTCAGATTCACTTCAGTTACACAAACTGACCACACGAGGCAGCAGTAGACCAGCAGCTTCTGTTTCCCACTGAGTTAAACATCTGTAGTTTTCTCTATGGACTTCAGTATGGGAGGGTGAGCAGTTTCATTCAACACTCCAGTTTGTAGATGACGTTTCAGTGTCACATCTCATACAAACTTTTTAAAAAATCCAAACTATCACTTTTATTTCTTTGACATTTGTCACTAATCATTTTTACAGACACAGACTTTAATGTGTTCACTTTGGTTAAAAGAAAGTTAGAAGAAAATTAGTCACATTTATTTTATCAACAAAACACCACTAAACTTGTATTTACTTTCTTTTTCTACTAAATACAAATGTAACATTTTAATGATGAATATTTAAGGTGAACTCTGTCGTCATCATCATCATCATCATCATCATAAATGATCACTGACATTTATTGTTTCAAAAAAATGTCCCCATTTTGCATCACTGTAGTCAGTGCCCCCTGTTGTTCTAGGACTAGCCGCAGGGGGGCAGTAGGGGACAATCAGCGAAGTGGCCAAAAGTAAAAGGACATTATGTTTTCAGTGTGGGAGAGTTCTGTTGGAAACATTGATTGTTCTTTTGAATATAATTATTTTCTTTTTTACGACTTAAACTCAAACCCAGGTGTGAGTCTGCCATGGTTTTATACAGACTCTGGTTTCTGTCAGTTCAGGTTTAAAATGTGGATTTAATTTAAAAATCAGTTCTCATTTTAATCTTTGAAAATAAAACAAAATCAACATCTGAACTCAGTTCCTGTTCCTGTGCCATTGGTTCTGGAACCTTCTCAGGGTCCACTTCATGGACCGGTTCAATTTCAGACCAGTTCAGCTGGGCTCTGCAGGCCTGTGGGCACAGAGTGGGAGTGAGGCGGCAGAGTCAGAGTGTGGCGCTGATGAGTCACGGATCTGAAGAGGATGATGATGAGTGGGCAGGATGTCAGGGACAGCTGTGTGTGTGTGTGTGTGTGTGTGTGTGTAAAGCAGCTTCTTTCCTGCACCAAAGTCCATGTTTTTCCAAGTCCCAGGTTTTTACACCTGAACACAGCGACTGTTGATCTCTGCTGCTTCATCACTAAGTTTCTTAGACAGACTACAAAACCTAGATATAGATAGACAGATTAATAAAGTGCTGTCTGTCTATCTATCTGGGTTTCATCAGATTTCATCTGTGACTTCACCGTTTGAAACCTGATTCAACTTAGTGAGACAAACTGACCACAGGAGGCAGCAGAGGACCAGCAGCCATTGGGTACCTACACTGCAATATTTTTACATTTTTCTTTACGGACTTTTGTATTGTGGAGAGATCATATTTGCAGATTTAATATTGTTTGTTTTTGTTTTCTAACAGTCAATGCTCCAAAGTTCGTGAAGAAATTACATTTTAAAAAGTTTATAATTATTATATTATATATATAATATTATAATTATATTATAAAATGTTCAAACTCCACTGTTACAGAATCGCACTTTTAAAGTGACTGTAGTGAATTTCCTGAGTCGTCGATGAATGAACAGCTGCGATGGTCGTCGTCTTAAATCACCGCTCCGTTCCACGGACTTCTCTGTGGGGATGTGGAGACCTGAATAACGCTCTACTTTTAAAAATATATCGTTTATGATAAAAATATCAGACACAGCGATGTTGTGTCTAAATTTGAAAAGTGTGAATGAAAGCGTGTCACTGTGCGTGTGCGTGGTTGAATGATTGGAGCGGAGGAGGCGGCGTGGGAAGCGCGTGGCGCAACGGAGGTGGCGCGGACCTGGAAAACACCGCTGCGTTCAAGGACCCTCTGCTGTGGGAAAGTACAGTTTCAACGAAGGCTTTTCAGTGATGTGATGGTGATAATTATGATTGGTCGACAGTTTGTCTGATGGAATGGTGGTAATGACAACAATGTTAATGAGAACGACTGCTGCTGCTAATGATGCTAACAATGATTTCAATAAGGATGATGATGATGACGTTTATTGATTGATTGATTATGACGCTAATGCTGACTTTGGTAATAATAATCATAATCATCATAATGACGTTAAAGACAAATCTGATGCAAAAGTATTTTTTTCCCACCGGCCCTGAAGCTAACACGGCTCCTCCTCTGTCCTCAGCCGCAGCGTCGGCGACTTCGCGCGTGCATGTGAATGCGCACGCACGCGAACGCGCGTCTGTGGGCGCAGGCGCGCAGGACTGTGGTATAAAGCCAGAGAAGTGGCGGAATCTCGCGCTTGTTCCTGTCAGTCACGCACCGACTCAGAGCCTGACCTGCGGTTTCCCCCGTCAGTCTGAGGAATCACGCCAGGTCTGCACAGCGGAATTTCGGTTTATGGTTGTGACAGACCCCGGAGCAAACATGTCCCGGACCGACGAGGTGCACCGGATCACCGAGAATGTCTACAAGGTAAGAGAGCCGACCGCTGAGCCGTGACTCAGTCCACGGGTGTCGATGGTTCACACCTGTGGTTCTCCTGCAGCAGCGGAGGGATGCCCCGGCTTTACACCGGCTTTGGATGCTCTGTGCGGATAACTCTGACTCAGTTTACCGGTCTTTTACTCCGGTTCTTACCTATGGTTGTTATACAACTGCCGAGCGATGGTTCTGTTGGTGCCGGGGTCCAGAGCTCTCGGTGCGGTCACAGTGAGTCTGTTCTCCGGTTCCTCACACCTGTGTGCAGCTGTGCAGAGAATTTCAGCTTTTTCTTAGGATTTCATAACTTGGACTAGTAACAGACCTGCTGTGGATTTTTATCTTACCATTAAAATACAATTATATAATTTTAGACGAATGCTGTTTTTTTTTTTCTTCAACCTTTGACTCATTGTTTTTTTTTTTCTTCAACCTTTGACTCATTTTTACAATTTTACAATCAAAATGAAAATTTCCTCCAAAGGTGAGAGCATGCGGTAAAATCTCCATCATTTTAATATACATTTTAGTGATATTTGAGTGACTTTGATTAATAAAGAAGCTTTACCCTGTCTTTATCACCTGACTGTCACTGTGACGACCAGTGGGAACCAGTGAGGTGATGGGTGTGGTGACAGGTGGATGTTCAGGTGAGGAACAGGAAGTAACAATACGACATGGCAGCATCAGAGTGAATCTTGGGAAATCTCAGCCTTGACTGGCAAAAGACCCTCTTGATACCCCAGAGTGAAATCTGAGGAAGGCTGAGTGTTTCTCCCACAATGCTCTCTGTTCAGATAGGAGAGTGGAGGAGGAGGAGGAGGAGGAGGAGGAGGAGGAAAGGTGTTACTCCCTCTTCTCACTCCTCTCTTGAGGAGGTAGATATTGGCTGAGGCATGGATGAGAATGTCAGGAAACCTGTCACTGTGAAAACACTGAGTCAAAGGGTTGCGGAGGAGGAAGGAGGTAGTGGAGGAGGTAGTGGAGGAGGAGGCGAAGGCGTAGGAGGAGGAGTAGGAGGGCAGAGTGACAGGTGAAGAAACTTCAGAGTGAACTTTTAACTCTTTCCTCTGCTACTCCTGTCTGTATCAGAAAAGTTCATGGAAATCGTTGGTCTTGTTGGCATCAGTAACACAAGCTGACCACAGGAGGCAGCAGTTGACGGGTAGCTCTGAGTTCCCACGGGTTAAAGAGTCAGAGTTTCTCATTCCTTTAAAATGAGCTGCAGTCAAACTGATCTGGATTTACTGTAACTGTGTTTTTAAATCTAAGTGTGAACAGTTCTCAGTCCCCTGGTGGTACTGTTGTGGTTCCTCTGTCTGTAGCTCCTCTGTCTGTAGCTCTGATGGTTCTCTCCATGTTCTGTGTGAATGAACACGTTCCTGTGAGAACATATGTTCCATATGTAACATTCATAAAAAAAGGTTGCATAAACACCCTGCTTACGTCACAGTGATGGTGATGATGTAGGAGGCTCCTTCTCTGGCTCCTTCTCTCCCTCCCCCCCTCTAACCCTCCCCCCCTTCTCCCCCCCCCCCCCCCCTCCCCCGCCTTCCCCCCCCCCCCCCCTCCCCCGCCTTCCCCCCCCCCCCCCCTCCCCCCCCTCCCCCCCCTCCCCCCCCTCCCCCCCCTCCCCCCCCTCCCCCCCCCCCCTCCCCCCCCCCCCTCCATCCCTCCCTTCCCTCCTTCTCTCCCTCTCCTCCATCTCTGTCTATCTCCTCACCTCCTCTTCTCCCGCTCGCCCGCCGCTGCCTCATCTTCTTTGCGGCCTGAGCTCGATGTGAGCTGAATAGTGATGGGTCGCCCCGACACAGGGGGGAATTCCTGTACGACCATATATGGTGCAGGAAGTGCACCCCCCCACACACACCACCGCCTCCATCTACAACTTAATGCTGTGTGTGTGGAATAGACTGCTGAGTCCGCCTCTGCCCAAACATAAGAGCTGAAGTGGAAAGGGGAATATTGGACACACAGACACAGACACACAGACACAGTGGAGTGTTGGAGCGGTGCAGCTCTGCTGCAGTGATTTTCCTCCTGACTGAGCAAAAGAAACAATGAGAGCAGCAGTGAGACATTCAGGATCTTCATCCTCTCTTCGCTTTAGCTCTTTCACCTCGACAACACGTCCTCTGTCTCAGTCTCTGTCTGTCCTCTGTCTCCGTCTCAGTCTGTCTTGTCGTCTGTTGCACAAACCAGCTCCAAATCCTTCTCCCCTACGTTCATGAATCGTCTTTCGATCGATTTCCTTATTTTTCTCTTACCTGGCTGTTGTCTAGTACCTGTATAGTTGTGCTGCTGTTATTATTTCAGCTGAATCTAAAATATCACCATTTTTTAACAAACTGCTGGTTGAACATTTTAATGCCTCTGTGCCTGCATGAGTGTGGAGCTGAGGACACACAGGCATTGACCAATGGAACGTGATGGCTGACTCCTGTTTTAAAAGGGACATGTGACCTATTAGATTTCTTGAAACCCTTCAAGTTTGAAGTTGTTTGTGGTTCGAGGAAAGGTCACGACCCCAGTGTTTGTTTCTGCGCTGAGCCCTTGAGCAGCGCAGCAGGTTCCGATGGAGTCAGTTCACAGTCGACTCCACTGTAATTTACAGCTCCACAGGATACGAGAGTGAGAGCTGCTGCTGGTGCACAAACAGAGGCACGTGCACACGCACATGCACGCTCTTCTGAGGCAGAGCCAGGTCACGGCGTTCCTCCCGCTGCTTGTTTTCTTGTTTTGGTAGAGCGGAGGCGTCGGTGCAGACGACGAGCGCAGGATCACGGCTTCGTTTCTGTCACTGATGAGCACTTCACTCGTGCTACGTTAGCTAATGTTTTCATTTGCAGTAGTTGAGTCCCTTAATTGTCAGTTAATTCACAGTGTGAGTCTCTGCAACTGCCACAGGCTGCCACTGGAGGCACCATTAGGGATAAGTGGCTCCTCTGGGAATCAAACCCAAACCGCTACACTATGGAACCACTTATACAAAGACAGAGGGATGTTTTAAATAACTGCTTTTGATCAGAAATAGCGCCACCTGCTGTCTGTCTCACAAGCAGCATCTGGACTTTTCTTGGCTTAAATGTGTCACTTAGGTCCACTGACCTCGTATTTGAACCGTGCAGTAGAATTCTTGATGTTTTTAATACTGTTCTGGAGAAGACAGTTGGAGAGGTCAGTATTTGGCTGCACAGACACAAAGCCATTATATTCATTATACAACACAAGGAGGTGTTGTACTTCAGTACTTTAAAAAAAACTTTTACACACACACCCGTGTACCACGTATATTCAGACTAATGTTAATTTCACAACTCTGGTCGGTGTAGCTGGGATTGGCTGCAGCTCCACCTACCAGCGGGAACAGGATCAGCAGGTTGAAGGTGGATGGTTAAATTAATTAAATGCTTAAGATCCAGGGGTTGAAGGAACGACTCTGAGGACCACCTGGAGAACACTAGATTCACCAGAACCTCAGAAGGTCCTCAAAGTACAAGAGGAATTAATTGATTACAAATATTTTGTAGTACAGAGTTCTGTGTATTTTGGATACTGTTATATTGAAGTACACACAGATGTGACACGTGTTACTGTTTAGTGTCCTGTGACTGCTGTCATTCAGGTTGAACCTCATGGGTCGCATTCCTGTTCCAAACTGTGGTATTTTGCTGTGGAGTCAAACACACACACACACACACACACACACAGCTGTCATCTGTCAGATGAGGCATTAGAAACACACAGTTTATACAGAGAGCGGACTGAGTGATGTGATTATCAGATGAAGTGTTTACTCTCACGCTCCAGAGTCTGGAGCTTCTTCTTATCTCCTCACATCAGTCAGCTGCTGTAGTACCAGGGAGTATCTGAACCTTCTGGTACTACAGCCGCTGGTGCTGTTGTAGTTGTTCACTCAATAGGAGTGTGTGTTGTGCTTAATAGCAACAAAATGACGTGGTGTCACTGTCTTCTTTCACTGAGCTGGTGAGGAGGTGTTCCACTTCTGGAATCTAGATCTAAATCTACTCCAGTGGCCAGTGTTCTGGGTTTGAGTCCAACAATCCTGTCTCTTACTGTACCTGAATGAAGGACAGCGTGGAGAAGACGAAACACTGTACTATTACCAGCACCGCTCGACACAGCCCAAGTACCACCAGTGGAACGCCTACCATAGCTTTGGAACCACAGAGTATTTTGGGTCCCATTTTAATTTTTCTCACCACAGGACACACACACACCCACACACACACACACACACACACACGTGTCTGTCATGACCCGGTTGATGTTAACCTGTCTAACTGACCCGTCTCTGTCTCCATCAGTCCATCATGGAACAGTTCAATCCATGTCTGAAGAACTTCATCGCCATGGGGAAGAGCTACGAGAAGGCCCTGACCAGTGAGTCCAACTGTCCTCGTCCGTTTCTCTCTCTCTCTCTCTCTCTCTCTCTCTCTCTCTCCCCGTCTCCTCATCTGAGTCTTTGTACCATTGTACCCACATGTCAGTGGTTGTCCACTTCTGATGTCCACATGGCTGTCTCTGTCTTTTTTCCCCTCCATTTGCTTCATCTTTGTCTCTGTTATGTATTTTATTTTTATCTCTGTTTTTAGTCCTCTCCTTCACTCCTTGTCCTCCTGTCTCTTTCCTTTCTTCCACTGTCTATACTCGTCTTGTTTTATATTCTGTCCACTACTTTATTGTCATCTCTTCATCGTCTTCATCAGTCAAATCATCTTTTCTGTCCACCTGTCTTTACCTGACCCTGTATCCAGGCTCCTTGACATTTTCTGTCCGCGCATCTTACCCCGCCCCTGTCATATCCTGTCCACTCTTAAGTCCTTGACTCTTCTCTCTGTCTGTCCATCCTTTTCCACTCATTTGTCATTGTTTCTGTCTTTCTCTGTCCCCTCATCAGCCCTTTTTATTTTAGGATGTTATTAGTCTTTGTTCTATAATGCTTTAATCGTTTCGTCCTCCATTTTTGTCCACTCATCTGTTCTTATCCTGCCTTTGTCTTTTTCTTCTGTCACTCATTAATCCTCGTCCATGTCGTCCTCTCTTTTGCAATCTCATTTTCTGTTGTCCTCTATCCACATTTCCTGTCCAATGCCCAGGTTTGTTTGGTTGGGTGTGATGACAGTGCTGTTGTCTCTCTAGCGCCCTCTGTCTCATCACCATGTCTTTTATTTGCAGATTTAAACGAGATTTGATTGCGCCCAAAATGTTTTGAAGTCTGTTTGCTGTATTTGCTGGGCTTTGTCTCTTTATCTCTCTGTCCCTTTGACTCTCTATCCCTTTGTCCCTTTGTCTTTTTGTCCCTTGTCTTTGCTTTTTTGTACGTCAAACTCTTTGGGTCGTACAGTAAATAGCATGAGCAGCGTGCATGTGCACGTGCGCCACCTGCTCAAGGTCAGAAACAAAAAGCTAGTGAAATTTCATGTGGTGAAAAGTAGAGCAAGAGGAGGAGGAGGAGGTGGGGAGGAGGACAGCACTGGGTCCTGCGGGAGACAGGAAATAGGACAGACGACGCTGGAATCCAGGACAAAAAGAAAACAATAGAACATTTAAAGGAAAAGTCCAGAAAACATCATCAAAGCTGTTAATGTTTCGTTGCTTTACAGACAGGTGATCCGCAGCTGTTGACCTTTTACATTTCTAAAGTAAAGCAGGTCGTCATCAGCATCGGTGCATATACACTGTTATATATGCTGTACTTCATCATTGACATGTGGCTGCAAACCCACAGTGAGATGCTCCTGAGAATGCTCTTGTGTTTTGTGCTGTTGACTCTGTGGTTTGTGACCCGTGGTCACGTTCAAGCTCCAGGTTGTTGAGTTGAGGCTAAGGCTGCGCAATGCTAGGCTAAATGCTGATAAAATGTTGTCATCTGATGGGGAAAAAACTGGAATTGTACCTTTACCACGTGTATCTGGGACATTCACTGTTTAATTAGCTTTCAAACATTATGTATTTTTCTTTTCTTTCTTTTTCTTTAGCTCATCACCGTTAGCATTCACATTAACATTTACCTTTTTCATTGTTTACTTTAACTCATACTCATCGTCAGTCCTCCGGTCACAACCTCAGACTTTATTCAAACCTTTTCCCCTGACTCACCAAGACTCAGTCCACTCAGCCCACTCAGTCCATCCAGACCACAGATGGACTCTACGCTGCTGTTACTACGAGAGTTTGTCCACGTGACAGGTGCCAATCTGAACCGACCAGAATAGACCGCAAACATAACTGTGGAAAAAATGATGCGCCTCAGGTTCTGTTGACACTTGTACAAAAATATATCAACAACAAACAGCCAAACCAACATCCAGTTGGCTTTGTGTATTTTTACATCTGAACCATTCAGTACTGTGATAAGTACTTGACGTTTGATTGATCACAGGTTTCAGAGAATTCACTGATTAATTAAATGGGCTCAAGAGAAGTTTAGTATTTAAGTAGAACTAGCTTCTTTTAAATGTTCACATGCTGCTTTGTTAAAGCATTTGAATCTTTGTTTATGTTAAAGAGTAGCTGCTACTGCAGTTCCATCTGCTTCCTGTAGTGGCCTCTATCGAGCTTTTTCTTTTCTTGCCTGGTTTCCATTTCCACCTGCTGCTCTTTATTTGCCTTGCTCACCTTCACCTCTGGGGGTGCTGCAGTTTGGGGGGACCTGGTAGACACAGTTTTAACTCCGCCCACTGCTTCATGTTTCCAGGTGTCACACACGCTGCCAAGGGCTACTTCGATGCTCTGGTGCGGATGGGCGAGATGGCCAGCGAAAGTCACGGCTCTAAGGATCTTGGTGAGTCCTTGTAGAGACCGTAGCACCCCCTGTTGGGGAGAAGGAGGGTAAGATGAGCAGGTGGTGGATGGGATGGCAGATGTTACTTCTGGATCACTACGTCCTAATAGAACTCTGGAGTAGGACTGCGCCGGCTGTTGAGCACCAACTACTCCCTGTTTAAATCCAGCAGTCCTGCTGATGATGTCACCTTTTACCCATCATCCATCTGTGCATCACTACGTCTGTCATCAGAATAGCTGTCATTGCTTTTGTCATGTTCATGTTCTGTCTGTGACTCAGCAGCAACTCTACAGTGGGCCGGGAAGATGTGGCCCATATTATAGTTCACCAGAATCCCCAAGCTGGTTTTGCTTCTTCTGGATCAGTGTTTTCCAAAGTGTGGGGTGGGGCACCATCGGGGGCACAGAGCTCTAGTGGTCTTGTGTGGAAGGAAGAGAAAGGCAGATGAATTTGAGCAGTACCTGAAGTCTGGATCTGAGGAGGAACTCGACTGTTGTCTTATCTAAAGGGGGGACACGGGGGGGGGGGGGGGGGGGGTGAGGAGGAGGTGTGATGGTGCTGAAGAAAATATTGTGAACTTCTGTGTTGCAGCCTCAGCTAAGTTACCTGGAACTGTTTCAGCTTCTGGCTGTGGAGCCTCTTTGTTGGTGTCATTAGCATCATGTCAGTAACAGAGTGTTAAAGCAAGTGCTAATGCTAATGGAGTGACATTCATTAGCGATAGGTATGGAGATTTAGCAGGTGTGAGTTATCTCATTAAAATAAACTGAATCTGGTAAAGACCTCGCTTCTGTGGGGGGGGGGGGTATGATGATGATGATGGTGATGATGATGATGATTTCTGACTTTATTTGCTGATGATAGACGGACAATTGGTGTCCGTATGTCTCTCTCTCACTGCCTATCTATCTAACTCTCTCTTCTCTCTCTAGGTCTCCCCTCTTTCGAGTGTCTTTGGTTCTCTCCCTCTGTCTCCCTTTTCTCTGCCTTTATTAATTTTTTTTCTCTCTCTCCCCTTTCTCTGTGGCTCCCCCTTTGTCTCCCACCGTGCATCTCCCCCGCTCTCTTTCTCTCTGTCTCCTGGTCGTCTCGGGGAGAACACACCGACTGTGCACTCGTTCTAAAAATAACCCCACATCTCTGCTGCTGAACACCGAGTCCAAACATGGGGCGATGGTGATGTCGGTGCGGATGAAGAAACACATCGTCTCTCTTCCGTATACTAAATATGGATATGGGGGCGGGGCCATCAATAAATGTAGACAGGAAACTCCTGCAGTTCCTGTTTCCTCCTCTGACCATATATGGAGAAGCTCGTTCATCCAGACAGTGGTGGAATCTCTCAGCCCTGTCTCAGCCTCTTCCACAGAACAGCAGACGCGTTAAAATCAATCTGTTTTTAATATTCTCAGCGTGGCTCCATATGGAGGTCAGACCTGTTGGTGACCTCTGACCTTCAGATCTGTTGACGCGGCGTTAGATTCCGTTATTTAGTTTTCTGAGGGTAAAGGTTTTCTTCAGTAAAAAATGACTAGCTCTTCGTAGCTCTTCCCCACGGCGATGAAGTTCTACATTCACATGTGAGATTTCAACTAGCAACCCAGCTGCCAGAGATTTAAACAAACACAACAACTCTGCAAACTGAAATACCAGCTGCCAGAGATTTAAACAAACACAGAATGATCACATCTCTGCAAACTTTCTATAAAATACTAAAACTAAAACTACTGCAGTATAATATTCTCTCAACAGTGCCCCTACTGGACATCGACAGATCTACAGTCACTGCTCTCGTATTTTCTGACGTCACGTTTTTAATGTGCAACGAATGTGCAAGGTGCAACGATGGTCCTCTGTTAGAAATGTTTCTTTGTCATTGTCAGTGTACGCTGTGTCCTGTAGATGGCGTCTGTTATCTCTTCCCTTCGCTGCCTTTGATCTGTCTCTGTTGCTCTAACCTGCTGTTTTTCCTCTTTCCTTCTTTACACTGCGTCTCCAGAAGAGGCAGCGTGTAGGTATCTGACCACATCACGTCACGTCGCTGTCATTTGTCCAGTCACACGGTTGATTCAAAAATACATTCACAGGTGTTTAGTCATGTTCTCAGTCAAAGTTTTTTTTATTATTATTCCATCTGCATTTTTCTGGAGTTTTCTTTGATTTGACCCCGTCCTTGTCTGCTGTTTGTTGTCTTCACCGGCTGGACCTCAGCCCCTTGGTCTCATTGGCTGCTTTTTTTCCCTCTCCAGGGGACGTCCTCTTCCAGATGGCTGAAGTTCACAGACAGATCCAGATCCAGCTGGAGGAGATGGTGAGCTTGTTGGTGCCGAAAGCAGCAGGAGCTTTCTTCACAGTTTCTCCGTCAACATTTTCATATTTGAATATTTGAATATCTTCACACCGTGGTAGAAAAATAAACACTTAGGTTCATTTAAAGCTGGGCTCAGTAAGTCTGACTCACGCCTCCATATCCTTTAAAATCCTCTCAGGTTTCTCCTAGTCGTAACTGGTTGTGATGTCACGTCCTGTCTGTGTTGTCTGTAAAGGTCGACTAATTTTTTTTTCATAATTGTTGCTTTACTTACAGTTAATCTACAGTTTTCTGTTTTGCTAACTGTCCTTATGATTGAACTAACTTTAGCTGTGATGTCACCCACGTTTCAACAGTTTTCTGCCAAAATTATGTTTAAACTTTTTTTTCTATTTAGTAGACTAACTTTTAGCGGTTTAGGCTAACTAGTGGCTATTTAGTGGCTAACTTGAAGTGGTGCTTCATTGTTTGTATGTGTGCTGCAGCTGAAGTCCTTTCACTATGAGCTGCTCACAGAGCTGGAGAAGAAGGTGGAGCTGGACGCCCGCTACCTCAACGTGAGACTTCCTGATTTTTTTTTTTTTTACATTTGAAAAATTGAGAAGATAGCAGGTTTTGATCATGCTGACACACATGTCTCCGTTGCCCTCTGCAGGCAGCGTTAAAGAAGTACCAGATGGAGCACAAGGGCAAAGGAGAGAGTCTGGAGAAATGTCAGGCGGAGCTGAAGAAACTGAGGCGTAAAAGTCAAGGCAGCAAACAGCCGACCAAGTACGGAGACAAGGAGACGCAGGTGAGTGGGTGGGAGAGAGAGAGACACGCTACGTCCAGGTGAAGGTGAGGCCCAGGCACACAGACGGGTGACGTTGTGTCTGTGTCTTCTGTGCTCAGTACATGGAGGCCATCAGTAACAAACAGAGCGACATGGACGTCTTCGTGACCGACGGCTACAGGAACGCAGTAGCCGAGGAGAGGAGGAGGTTCTGTTTCCTGGTGGATCGTCAGTGCAACGCTGCCAAGAACAGCAGCAGCTTCCACAGCAAGGTCAGCAAGACACCTGGTCAACGTTCTCATGAATGTTCCTCTGAATGTTCCTGCATCGGTCTCCTGAGCAAATTTATATTTTCTTTCCATCCCGCCGTGTTCTTACCTCTTGTTCCTTCCTTCTTCTCCTTCACTCCAGAGCAAAGAGCTTCTATCTCAGAAGATTCCAGTTTGGCAGCAGGCCAGTTCTGATCCCAACAAAATTCCAGAACGGGCCATGTTCTTAAACCAGCAGATGATCGGACCAGCAGGACCAGAGTCTAAAGCTCTGCCAGAGGGGGCAGTAGTGTTCAGAGGCAGCCCCGGAATGCCTCAGCAGGTATGTGACAACACTGGGCCGACAGTATTGCAGAAAGTTATCCAAAAACAAACTCTCAGTTTGAATGAATCTGATCCAGAAATTACCACCGTATGCCGACGACTCCACCGTGCATTCGAGAGCTTGTTTATTTAATAAATTCTTCTTCCTCTCAGAGGCTGATGGGAGTTGTGGATGGAGGGCTGATGAATGGAGTGGGTGGAGCTAATGTGGCAGGAGGAGGCGACTACCAACAGTGGATGGAGGAAAAGGAGGTGCAGGGCAAAGTTTCACCACAGACCCAGAGGCACGGAGGAGAAGTTTTCTCCAACACACTTCCTGTACGCAAGGCTGCACCTGCCAAGAGCAAGACCACACTGAGTAGGTAGACAGAACATGAACTGCACCTAGAGCGCCCCCTGTGTATAGAAGCAAATGTGAAATATTTAAAAAGGAGATGCATTTAGACTCAGCCATTGGAGACCAGTTCAAATCTGTGACTTCTGACGACTTTTCTCTGCTGCTGCTTCAGGTTTGATGAATGTTGACTTTAAATGTTTGTTTATATTCCTGTCACTGACACAAACTGACCACAAGAGGAACCAGTGGACCAGCAGCACCTCAGTTATTGTCTTTCTGTGTAAGCCCGTGCAGATGTTTTGAGTAAATATCCAGGCTGATGAAGTCAAAGTTGTCAGATCAGAATTAAAGTCCCCGTGGTTACACCAGAGCGTCCTGTTAAACCTCTGCTGTTCTTCCACCAGCGGAGACTCGGACGTTGCCTCGCTCCAGCTCCATGGCTGCAGGACTGGAGAAGAACGGCAGAACCAGAGTCCAGGCCATATTCTCCCATGCAGCTGGAGACAACAGCACCCTGCTGAGCTTCTCTGAGGGGGACACCATCACGCTGCTGGTCCCCGAGGCCAGGGACGGGTGGCACTATGGAGAGAACGAGAAGACCAGGATGTGAGTGGAACCTCCGAGAACACTCTAGTACCTGTGAAGTACAGTGCAAAACAAGTATATTTACTAGTCTCTAATGAACTCTTGGTTTTTTTAATGAAGGCAAACTTTAGAATGAGGTTGTTGCAGCGCCCCCATGTGTCAACTTTATGAATATCTTGCATGTTTTTATAGGCGTGGCTGGTTTCCCTTCTCCTACACGAGGATGATTTCTGAAGGAGAATCCATGAAGCATCTTCCTGTTCACAAGTACGTTTTTTTTTTTAACTCAATTGAACATGCTAAAGCCAATTTAGTGTAAAACAGTTACTGTATGAATGTACAATAACCATGCATTCAACTGTAGAGGGCGCTACTGCCTCAAAGTCATTATTTCATTTCATTTTTTGTGTCGGTCAGCCTCCGCCACGGGAAGAGCATCAGCACTGGGAACCTGGTGGAGAGAGAAAATATTGCATTTCCTGTTCCTGATTACACCGTACACTCCCACATGGGGGCGCCGCACGGCAGACAACAACAGCAACAACGGCCCTACAGCGTGGCAGTGCCAGGTTTCCCACAGGTTGGGGTAAGTGAGATGTTTGGGATTTTTTAAACTTTTACTCTAGCACATGTGTATTGTTAGTTATCACAATATCAATGTCACTTTAACACCTGTCACCACTAAGAGGCGCTCTGTATTTTTGACGGATAGGATAGTTTTAGCATTTTTGGTGAACATTATACAGATCCATATTAACTTAAAATGTATAGACATATGTATGTTTTATTGATCTTTATTCATTTTTTCTGTTTGTTTTTTTTTAGCAGGGAGTTGAAGAGTATGAGTCTCGCTTCTCTACAAGGTAATTTATTTATTTTTTTACAATATGGGGAGTTGAAGAGTATGAGTCTCGCTTCCCTACAAGGTAATTTATTTATTTTTTTTACAATATGAAGTTGTTGTGTTTTTTTTTTTTTTTTGCTATTCATCAATTTAAACATTTCCTCAGCTGCACGGTGTTGCTTTTAAAAATGTCGATCAGAGGATGTTTGTTTCTTCCTTCCATTGTTGTAACTCTCTTCTCCATCTGTGTCCACAGTTCCACAGATGGAAAACTCATTTCCACAGTGTGAAGACACACACCGTGCTCTTCTCTTTAATCCTGCTGCGTTCGTTGTCGCAGAACAACACGAAGACGACTGGAGCCACGAGGAGCCTGGATGTTTGGCTGCTCTTTGTCGTGCATGAACTGAACGATTCCTTCAGTAATCACCAGGATCATGACGTGAGGCATTTAGTAAAACCACAAATGTTATCTTTGGTGATCCAAAACACGATTTTAATGCTGTAAAAAGAACAACTCTAATTTTAATCTTCTCTTGCGTCGTTGCTGTTCTCTCCTGCTCCTCTGACGTTAGAGGAACTGTACCACGAGACGAGAACGGCCAATCATAAAACAGGCCGAAATATTAACGATGAGAATGTTTACTCTACAAACACCTGAGTGTGCAGCCTCACTCACTCTGAGATTTTATCCATCAACCCATTTTATTATTGTTGTTCATGTGTTCATAGGAGCAGGTCTTCAAAACTGCCACCTGTCTCCCAGGACCACCAGTCTGACCAACATTAACTACAGCAGCACAGACCCTCACGCTTTACAATTTGCTGACAGTATCAGTCAAAGATGCACAGTACAATGAAGTACAGTAGTACTACATAGTACTTAATTCTAATTCTGGAAAGACACTCACAAGCAGCCACAAAATACATGTTCCCACACTCACCACAGGAGGGAGCTATATTGAGACTAGTGGTACAGGTACTACAGTTTGAGGAGAGTAAGAACAAGATTTTCCAAAGTAGTATTTAGAACTATATTAGCACAGTGGAAACATTGCACTTCAGAATTAAATTTAAAATAAAGTTGAACTCCTCACATTCAACAGCAAAATCAACCCTACGGCTCAAGCACTGTAAGTATTTAAATTCAGGTCTTTTTTTTTTTCTTTTTTTAACCAAATCCTGTAAATAGTATCCTGTATGATAAACAACACTGTAACATAATGTGTAAAGTATTAATGGAAGTATTATATGAACAACAGGCTTTTGTTTTAAATAGTTTTACTGTGAGGAGACAAAATGAATACGTTGATGTGCATGATAAGAAGAAAGTATAAACATGTACGTGTTAAGTCATGAACTCTCAAAATGTATGTTAGCTTTAAAAAACATTAAAAGTACAAAATAAACCCACTTAAATGTACATTTCAGTTTGTTTCATGTTTTTTAAAAATAAATCTGCTACACATCCAAACATCAATAAACGTCAATAGTTTTTTAAAAAGGAGGCTGAATGTAACAATGTCTTGTTTTTCTAACGACTTTAGCTTTTCTCACCTTACATTAAAAAGTTAAATAATGTACAAAATGTGTTGACACTTCCACATGCCAAGCTCTGTGTAAACCTTGTCAAAGTCGCCAACTAGAGCTTAAATTTAAAATATTATATTAGCTTTGTGTATTTGTCTTAACTAAAATACTATTGTGTGCTAATCAAGTCAGTTGAAGCTAAAATTCTCGCACAATTTCTAACTGTGATGACATTGATGGAAATTTGGCCCAAATCAACTTTAGGCAAGACAACGTCATGTTTATGCTACAACAGGAAGAAAAAACGAAAAAGTTAAAAAATAAAGTGTTAATGCCTGTTTGCCTTGGTCACATCAGGGTCATGTGAAGGTCAGAGTTCTCTGTTGAGAGGTGATGGTGCTCCAACCCCTCTTCCTGAGCTTCACCCTCCATCACTTGGAATACGGTAGCGCCTCCTGCAGAGACAGGCGTGAACGCGGCGGGGGGAGGCACAGGAAGCTGCGAAGAGGGGGCGTGTCCGGCAAAAGGCTGAGTGTTCCCTGTGGAGGATTCTGGGTAGTGTGAATCCTGGTGGAAAGGGAGGTAGAAGATGGAGGAAGATGTCGGGGAGGAGGATTCCTACAGCAGGACATAGGACGCAGTGAGTGAGTGAGTGAGGACAAGAAGTGAAGGGGTGAGGGTTATAAGAGGTGGAGAGGTGAATAAATGACACAGTAATGGATGAGACATCATGAAGATGTCAGGTGAAAAAACACACAGTGTCACGTTCCCACACCAAAGTCCATACAGATATACAGTGATTTTAACGTCCATGGACAACGGACCATCTAGTCTTTTACTCCCTCTTGTGGTCAAATTGTGTCACTCACGTTAAGCTCGTGTGTGCTGCGATAATAAACAGCTGATTTTCTCTATAGGCTCTGGTGTGGCAGACTTGGTGGTTTGACAACTTCCTGTTTCCTGTTACATAAGGCCTCTAGTCTGACATTATTAAAAACTCGTTTAGTCCTTTGACACGAAGCTAAAATAACTGTTTCACAGTCAGGCAGCCAAGTTGGTCCAGGTTGATAAACAAACCTTGTTTTAAAAATGTTCTAAAGCAGCAATGGTCACGAGAGAATCAGGAGATTTTTTTGTGAGATGATCTTTGTTTATGCAAGAAAAGATGACGTTTAGCTGTTAAAGGGTGATTCTGCAGTTTTAGCAGCGGGGGATGGGGATGAATGACGGGGAGGTTACAGGGTAGCGGGCGGGGTCACATACGTGCTGCTGAGCGGGGTGTACGTCTGTAAACATGGGCTGGACAGACGTCGACTCTGACGGACCTGAAAGTAACATTTGACACCCAGATGAAGAATCGCTACAGACGTCATCACACTGAGGAGCACAACCCTTACCCTACTTTCCTCCAGGCTAACCAGTAGTCTTTTAAGGTCATTTCTTCACCGCTAGTCAAGATTTTAGCATTTTCTCAGCTAACTTTAAGTTTAGTTTAGTTAAGGCTTTTTTAGCAAATATTTTAGTTTTTTTTTTTTTACCTCACTTGTGTTTTTCTGTTGATAGATGGATGTTTTATAATCTGCACTGTTGTACTGCAGTGTGTCCTGATGCCACCAGAGGGCGATTCTTCAAATGAAAAGAGGGAACTGCAAGAATTGGTTTTCTCATAGAGACTGAAGAGGTGAGAACTCCCTGTGACTGAGTGTCGTGTTCAACAAATAATAAACGATACAAAGTCTGCATTTTCCAAGTACGAAATATTCTCCTGCTTTCCTGACAGGAAGTCATAAAAAACTCTTTTGTCTCACAGCCCACTGCCAAGTGTAAACAAATGTATTATTCTTTTAATCTATTTACACAAAAGAATGAAAAATCTGAGGTGTAAATATGTTTTTAAGCTCCTAGCGCCGGTGATTTAGAAGATTATGGTGTTTAAATTTCATTTCCTACACAGTTAATCAGATGAAATAATTATAGGAAAAATGAACTAAAACCTACAGAGTTCATGGAGCGTCCAGACCCACGCTGAGACACTATGGCTCCTGAGATGGCTCTAATCCAGCTGTGCATGTCCTCTGGACTGTCGGCCTGAGGGACAGACAGGCGGAGACACAGACAAAGACAAAGACAGAGAGAGATGTGGACATTTTCACAGTCAGAGACGCTGAGGTTAAAATTCTCTGTGTTGTGTTTGTGTTTCTTCTCTACCTGTATGAAGAAGGTTCTGGAGCTGGTGACCATCTGAAACAGGTTGTCCCTCATCATCAGTTCACTGTATGACACACACACACACACACACACACACACACACAGCACATTAGTCACATAGTTATCTAGTCACATGACTGCCCTGCTCTCACAGGAACAGGAAGTGATCCCACCTCTGTTTACACTCCTGAACTTTGTGGATCTCCTTCAAGGAGATGACTCTGAGCGGCTCACGGTCCTGACGGAACAAGATGGAGACGAGGTCAAAGGTGAATCCACAAAATAACAGAGATGATGATGATGATGATGATGTGCTGTGACTGAGTTCTTCAACTTTTATTAGGCCACCCAAATTGGCAGCAGCACAGAGCACGGGCTATGTTCCTTGTATTGACCACATGGGGGCAGGAGTGGACCAGCAGCTCCCTTGTCACGGTGAGATCAGTATGGGAGATTGTGTGGGTCACAGACCCCGTTGACCTGTTAAAACTGTGATGTTTTCACTGAGACTCTGTCCCTCAAGCTGGTTTTGGGTGCAGGGATAAGAATCAGCTCAGGTTTTGTGTCAGCTCCTTAAACTGAAGGCTTTAGTTGACAGTAGTTGATACTTAAATGGTACAAACACACACACACACACACACACACACTGACTGACAAACTAGGTGTGTCCACACATGTAAGGAATTCAGAAACTATGCTGGTGTTTGTAGACACATAACACCCTGAAGGCAAAACTCTTTTCCTTCTCCTCCTATGTGTGTGTGTTGTGTGTTGTGTGTTGTGTGTGTGTGTGTGTGTGTTCCTTGTCCTCACCAGGTCAGATTTGTAGTAACTAAGTGCATTTTCATCCAACACAAAGTATCTTCTCTTCCATGTTTTCATCTGTGAAGGACAAGTGAAGGTCAGACTTGTGTCAAACTTGTCTCACTGTGGACGTGTCCACACAGTACGTGCCCTCTCCCTGTCTCACCACAGCTCCCTGTTTGACACAGTATCCAGTCTTGATGACCGTCTGGTCCTGAGCTCCTCTAGACAGATAGTAGGGCAGCTGATTGTGGCTCCGCTTCAGTCCTCCATGACCAGCTCCATTCTGCCCGTCTGCCTGCTCCTGAAGTAGACACACACACACACACACACACACACACACACACACACAGACAGACTTTGTGTCATTGTCTGGTTCTTTCTCTCAACCACCTGTTAGGTAATGTTCATCTCCACATGGACAACACCATAGAGAAGCTAGATGATTAAAAATGCTAAAATGCTAACAAGGTAAACCTCCTATATAGTCTTCAGACCTGAGGGCAAAAAAATAATTAAATCCTAACAGATTAGAGAAAAAAGAGATGCTTAAAAACCACACAAATATTTGGAAGGACTAAAAAAAAAAAGCTAAAATATCAAACACGCTAAAAGAGACAAGTAGAGGATGAGATTTGCTGAAACAGCTAAGAGAAGCTAACAGAATGTTCTGTGGCTGCTAACACAGACCGTCATCATTTCAAGACTGTCCTATTACTTGACCTGAATTTAATCAAACCAATTGTTACAACCTTAGTTCTTCAGTTTTAAGACCAGCCTTCACTTGTCTTTTCTGCAGCCCCAGTGGTTGTGGCTGCATTCCATTTTGGACAGGACTGAACGTGCTCTGTGTGTGTGTGTGTGTGTGTGTGAGAGAGACCTGTGTAGCAGTAATGATGGCGACTCCTCCAATGATCTCAGTCTTGTAGGAAACCTGCTTCATGGCGCCGAGAACATCCTGTGGGGTCTCGGCGTGCACAGCAGTGTGACTATTACCTGATTTTGGAACCTACCAAGACAAACACAGAACCGTTTTTAAAAAACGTCAGAGACGCCATTACATATATTTTTGCTATTGGCTAACATCTGTGTGTGTGTGTGTCTTACAGTAATTTTGGTGGCACTATTGAGAACATTGATCCATTCCACCAAATCCTGCTGGTCATTGGCCTGAAGGTAAAACTTCCTCATTCCTGCATTTATGACTGGGGGAGAAAGAGAAAGAGAAAGAGAGAGAGGGGGGGAAGGGGTTGGGGTACAGGGAGTGAGAAATTGGTAGAGGGTGACTTGGTCATGTGACGAACAGGAACGTCACACACAAAACTTCCTGAAGAGGAAACTCGTGTGTGATGCAAATCCAGATCTAAAATAAGCAAGAGGAAGTAAACAAACTCTCCCTCACACACACACACACGCAAATGTGCGCTAGGTCAAGGTTATTGTACAGTTTCCTCCTATTGAGTGGCCAAAAGCTACTGTTAGTCACCAGAGGAAGAAGACCAGGCAGTAAGTGACAAAAGAGAGGAAGTAACATTAACGAGGGGGGAAAGGAAGTAAAAAAGGAGGTGGAAGAAAGAAAAGGAGGTATGGAAGAAGGAGAGAAAAAAAGTGACAAGGAAGCACAAGGAGAGCTACAGGTACGGCATGCTGATGCCACCTGGATGGCCCACATGTAAATGTGCCATGTGAATATGAGAGATGCTCATGATAATGTGTAAGTTTTAGTTGTAGCGCCCCCACCAGGATTGTAACTTCACCTCACTAACTTAAATAGTTCACAATTCAAAATGGTGTGTGTGTGTGTGAGAGAGAGAGAGGGAGCTGAAGGTATACTTACCAAAGCAAAACTCTGCTTTTGGTCTAAGTTTTGTGGCATTACTGACCTTAAAGACAAAATGATGATTTTTTTTAAAAATGTGAATAAAATCAATCATAAATCACCACACACCAATGCTAACAGGCTAATAGACCTGTGATAGCATAAAATCACATTGTAAAGATATTAAAGTCTAATCCAGACAACACCTGTTTTGTATTGTAGGAGCGGCAGCCAATCCAAACAAACGGCTGGAGTCAACACAGACTTTCAGAGGTGAGCAGCCAATCATGAGGCAATAAGTCAAACAACCACTCATTGCTAGATACAAATTATTGGTAAGGTACCAGAGTTACCCACTGCTCCACCGTCCAGTGTTTAGGCTGACTCACCATGGATATATAGGAGAGCTTCAGAGCCCCAACCTCAGCAGACCCTTTTGGCAAATTCTTTAGGACAAAAAAAAAAAAGATATATTATATATGCAATATTTTTGTCTATAGAGATTAGTGCAGTTCAAAATAAAGGTTAATTCAATACAACGTATTTAAAACATGGTACAATCAGAAGTTAAAATAAAAATGCAGCGCCACCTGTGGGTTGTCCATGTACCACAGCAGGCTACCCTGCTGTGTGTCCAGAATGAAGTATCGCCGCAGAAAACGACCACTGTTTTCGTCCTCCTCAATGTCTAGGAAACCGCAGATGCGACTCTCTCGGTCCACGTACGGCATCGTGACTCGCAGCGAGTCGGGCTGCTTTGAATCATCACAGGAACGATGACTAAAACAAACTTGCTCTAGGTTAAAAAAAAGAAGTTTTTACATCAATTTCATAGTTAAATTGTTCTCGTGTTTAATAAAAGTTCAGAAAATGTCATTCCGATTTTAGTGTGAGATTTAGTTTATTCAGAGGTTAATTTGTTTCACAAGAGAGTGAAAAGTTCAATTTGTTTTAACATTATTTATTTTTAAACAAAGGTATAACTTGATCCAGTTAAGAGTGAAAGTAAAAACTAGAGTAAACCTTACACCAATGTTAAATTAAGATTAGTTCCAGCGAACGATAAAAACTTATTTTTGCTACAGTTAACGTTAGAATTAGCATAATTCCTGTTGAGTTTGAGTGTGGTTTGTTCTAGTTTACAGTCAAAGATAACTACACGTTACATAAAAGCACTGTTCTAAAGTGAAATCTTACTTAATTACAAACGAAAGTGAAATATAAGTTAATTCCGAAGGTAATTTTTCCAACAAAGTAACATTTAAGATTTTATGTTAGCATTAAAAGTTGATTTGTCAGTTACCTTGATGCCAGACTTACACGAAAGTAAGTTTGTTTCAGTTTAGTGTTACATTCTGGTTGAAACTGGTTTTAAGTGGAAGAAACCAAGCAAAAGCAAAACGGCAACAAATAAATAGCAAATACATCTATAACATGTATTTAACGTTGCATTTGTCGCGTTAGGTAGATTTTACGCACCGTTTTAAAAACAGTAAACCTAAAATACTACAAACTAAAAGTTAAACTCATTTGACCTTAAATTGATATTTATACTACCAGTATGGTACTGATAATATTATAAATGATATTAAACATGATAATAAGGCGATAATCAACAGAACCACGAACATCGTCATGGTTTCCTCTCCCTCCCTTCTTCCTCTCTCTGTCAATTTTCTTCCTCTCTTCTTCTCACTTTCTTCAGATTTTAATTCTTGTTTATAAATGAACACGACTAAGTGGTTAAGTTGATAAACAGAAAAAACAATCAGAGAGAATCTTTCTTTACTCACACTCTTCAGCTCGGTCCGACTCCGGTTTCAGTGTCAGAGTGAAAGTAGCGTTTGCACAAACCCACAGAACTTCTGCTCACATTTTTCAGAATAAAGGCACATCATTTTCCCGTAAAATGAGGCAAAGCGGAAATCTAAATCTATGTAACAAAATACAACATCATCCTCAACAACAGAATCACAACCTCCATAAGTGTCATTACAATAAACTAAATTTAGGGTAAAATAAATTATATATATCTAGTGCATATTATATAATCTAATTGACATCCTAACATGAAAAAAATGCAGTATGTGGGACTTAAGGAACCTGCGGGAGGCGCTGCTGCTCCTGTGGCTGTAATTATGCAAAAACAGGATATAAAGGAGAGATTTGTGTCAAACACACACTCAGAGTGACAGTCGGAGTGATGAGCTGCTGATTGAAGAGGCACTGAGTGGACACATACACACCCACACACATCTGAGAAGAGGTATGAAATGGTTTTCAGTCATATCAGTGGATTTAAAAGACACTCTTCACTTTCATCCTCTACTTCGTCACCACCTCCTCATTTCTGCTCATCTCTTCTTGTTCGTCTACATAAACATGTCTTAGACTGACATTGGCTGTTTTGCTATATTTCTGGCTAACCTCTCGTTACAGTTGAACTCTTTTAGCTACATTTCATAATACCTAGCTTTATCCATACCATGTCAACTGAATCATTATATTAACAGTAATTTCATTACATACTAAATTCATATTCTATACTTCCAAGGTATTTGGAATATATAATAGCATTTATATATCTTGGCCATTTTTAATCCATTTTAGCTAACGTTCATTATTTCTAGGCTGGTTTTTAGCAATAGTTGGGTTACTTCTTTCTTTTTCTGCTGTGTTATGGTGAGCATATTTATCACAATGTTTTTGCTGTTTAGGCCAAACCCACTGTTTTCCCTCAGCTAACCATTTCTAGGTTAAATTTAAGGCATCTTTAATGTTTAACAGACTAACTTCACTCTTGATACTTTTGGGAACACGTTTTCCAAATCATGTGATGGTGCCTAGTTATAATTTCTTGTTCACTGAATTGGCTTCTTATCCCTTGTGCTACACTTCTTATTTCCTGAAGGATTAATGAAGTTCTATCACTTCAGCTCATCAAAGAAATGTTTTGCCGTGTGGTCAGTGAATGTTTCCTGTACAAATGAGTCTCACATTCAGTTGTTTCAACATTTTTAGTTGTATCTCTTAGTGCTGGTGTGATGGTGAATTCCTGCCACCTTATGGTTCCTGTGAAGCAGCTTCAACCTCTGAACTTGTTGCACCTCCGTTCTCTGAAGCAGTGAGCTCTGATTGGACATGTAATGTCCGCTCATGAGAGCCTCTTCAGGCACCCACATGAGAAAGGCATCGAGTCCAGCAATCAGAGGAAAATTACAGCAGCATTCATATTCACACAGCAGACGTGAGTAGAATCATTTCCCTTCCTCTCAATTCTTTCCTACAGAATTCAAATATTCTTAAGAAATGTGGAGGACAGATTTACCAACCATGAAAGCAAAGTAAATATTGTGGCTTTGTACAAATTCAATGGTGATAAATTATCAGTTAGACCCTGAACAAGACAGCTGTGCAACCTGAAAATATAGGAGAGAAAAAAAATATATATACACACATAGTCTACTCAGTAGCAATTTAAACATTTTTTATTATTATTATTCAGAATCACAAGTTCCTGCATTTCCAACAAAGTCAAAGGTCACCCTGTGAGGAGACAGGAAATGTTAGAGTTTGAACATTAAATTTCAGCTGCTAGGACTTCAACTTCAATTACCTTCCATTCTCCTCTATGGAGTTCCTTTCACATCAGGAGTAGCTTTACTGGAGGGGTCAGCAGGAGGGAGGACTGGTGGTTCACTGTCAACTGGAATGTAGTAGTCTGGAGTGTACTTTGTGTGGGAGAGGAACTCTCGTAGCCGCTGGTAACCACTGTTGGACTGGATGATGTAGGATGAAGGTAGAGGAGGAGACGTCTCACTCACAAACTCTGCTGCTCCTACAGGACTGGAATCCCAAACTGTGAAGTCCGGGAAGGGACGAGACAGAAACCAGCTGTTCACGTCAACAACTCCAGCCCCACCTTCATCCTGTGGCTGCTGGACTTCAGGAGATGCTGGTTCTGCGCTGTCTGTGTTCTCAGCAGCGTCAGGTTCAGGTTGACCACCGTCAGGGGCTGCAGCATAGTGGGAGCCATAGTTGTAACCAACGTACACCGAAGCAGAATCTGCAGGCTGAGGAACACCTGGAGAACCTTCATTGGAGGTAGAACCAGACTGAACCTCTGGTGTCTTCCCTGGGCTGGGTGGAGGCTGAACTTGACCTACACCTTTGGATGGGACACCAGGAAGATAGAAGACAGCAGGTGGAGGATTCTGGCCAACAGCAGAGCCTGGTTGACTCAGGCCATCAGACGGTGAATTAGTGCCACCTGAGAACCAGCTCCGTGCTTGAGGATGATTGAAGGCTGAAGGAAACAACGAGAGTTCTTCAGAATGTAGTTTTAGACAGTTCTAAAGAGAACTGAAAACTGTTTTCTAAAAGTTTTACCACCATGGCCAGGACTCCAAGGGGGGCTGACAGCAGAGCTAGGTGGTCCATGAGGGTCTTCTGCATGCTGTTGCCTTCTAGTAGGAAGCACTAAAGGCTGTTGATCAGTATCCACACCAGAACTCCAACTTCTTGCTTGAGAATAATCAAAGACTAACAGAAAAAAACAGTTCAAAACACACTTTATCATTTTGAATTTGAGTCAATTTTGAAGTATTAAACCATCATCAAGTCAGAATGGCTTACCTTGGCCTGCAGGATAACATGAAGCTGTGCTGAAGAACATCAGAGAGAGCCAAGAAACCCTAGAAAAGTGAAGTGAAACGTTTCAGTTTTTTTCCCAGAGAATTGAAAAATTACAACAATAAAAAATAAATAAATAAATAAAAAAATTCACTGACCTGAAGAAAACCATCAGCAACATGTTTGGCTAAAGAAGGAGCTAATGAGGCTAAGACCCTCTGCACTGTTTTTAAACTGATGTGCTAATCTCGCTCACATAATTACTTACACCTGAGCAAAAAGCAATGCCATTGAACCTCACCTGGAGAACAGGGCGGAGATTCCAACCACGCCTGAACAAGAGGGTGGAGCCAATTACCTCTCATGGTTAAGAGCGTGGAGGTTTAACCACACATTTGAATCTGGTGTGAATGGAGGCTCCGCCCTCTTGACCAGGTGTCGACGATGTTAATCAGAGTATAAAAGCAAACTGAACAGCAGCATCATCATCTCCTCCAGTCTCCTCCTGTCATGTTGCTGAAAGGGTGTGTAAGGTAAAGGCAGTTTGTTTTTACATATATAACAGTGTTTGTTAAGAGTAATGTTTCTCTGTCCTTTGTTTGGTCAGGGTTTCTTGGGTCTGTCTGCTGTTCTTCAGCACAGCTTCATGTTATCCTGTGAACCAAGCAGGTAAATGCTGTGATTTTCATGGTGGTTTAAAAAAAAACTTGTGATTTTCATGGTGGTTTAAAAAAAAAACTTAAAGAAATGGTTTCAGTTCTCTTTAGAACTGTCTAAAACTACATTCTGAAGAACTCTCGTTGTTTCCTTCAGCCTTCAATCATCCTCAAGCACGGAGCTGGTTCTCAGGTGGCACTAATTCACCGTCTGATGGCCTGAGTCAACCAGGCTCTGCTGTTGGCCAGAATCCTCCACCTGCTGTCTTCTATCTTCCTGGTGTCCCATCCAAAGGTGTAGGTCAAGTTCAGCCTCCACCCAGCCCAGGGAAGACACCAGAGGTTCAGTCTGGTTCTACCTCCAATGAAGGTTCTCCAGGTGTTCCTCAGCCTGCAGATTCTGCTTCGGTGTACGTTGGTTACAACTATGGCTCCCACTATGCTGCAGCCCCTGACGGTGGTCAACCTGAACCTGACGCTGCTGAGAACACAGACAGTGCAGAACCAGCATCTCCTGAAGTCCAGCAGCCACAGGATGAAGGTGGGGCTGGAGTTGTTGACGTGAACAGCTGGTTTCTGTCTCGTCCCTTCCCGGACTTCACAGTTTGGGATTCCAGTCCTGTAGGAGCAGCAGAGTTTGTGAGTGAGACGTCTCCTCCTCTACCTTCATCCTACATCATCCAGTCCAACAGTGGTTACCAGCGGCTACGAGAGTTCCTCTCCCACACAAAGTACACTCCAGACTACTACATTCCAGTTGACAGTGAACCACCAGTCCTCCCTCCTGCTGACCCCTCCAGTAAAGCTACTCCTGATGTGAAAGGAACTCCATAGAGGAGAATGGAAGGTAATTGAAGTTGAAGTCCTAGCAGCTGAAATTTAATGTTCAAACTCTAACATTTCCTGTCTCCTCACAGGGTGACCTTTGACTTTTTTGGCACCATGTGATTCAGAAATAAAAGCTTAAACAGAAGTGTTTCTCAGTATCCACTTTATTGGAACATTTAGGAACTAAACAGTTTAATTGTCTACTGTTAGGAGTGTTCTTGGTCACTTAAGTTAATGATCAGTGGACCACTGTGGTGAGCTTGATGTTCAGAGCCAGAACATTAGACTTAACGTTGGTCTGTAGGCAATTTGAAGTTGCAAAAGTTCTGCATGAACATTAACGGTTACCTAGAACACATGCTTTAATCAACAGTCACTGACACTAACAGACCAAGGGACAGTGCAGCAGTTAATCAACAGTCACTGACACTAACAGACAGCAGCGCCTGTGTTCAGTGTGGCCTGGCTGACCTGATTCCTTTTCACCCTTCCTATAAATTACTACATTTTGCTTTACATGTTTGTCTCAAAAGTATGGATCTACTTAAATTCAGGTTCAAGTCAAATAGTTTAAATGGGTTATTTTAGATTAGAGCTAAAGGAGTCTCCTCAACCTCAAACAAGAGAACCCCTGGTTCCATCAGCAGCGGCAGGGTTCTGTTGGTCTGTCTTCCCACTGCAGCCTGGCTGTTTACTGTAGACGTCCACCTATATCCCACTGTTTGAAGCTTTTGTTCCAGAATGCATCTGTTACTGCTGCTGCAGCCTGAGGTCAGAGGTTGGGAGGATCCAAATGAACCAACAAACGGAGGCAGCTTCAGTGATGTGGAGTGTGATGTGATGCACTCTGCTTTGATGTAGTGGGGAAGAAACCTCTTTGATTCCCTCTGTGAAGTCAAGTCTGCTGAATGTGACAGCAGTGTCGAAACAACTGTGCTGATTAACCTTTACTAAAATCTACCTTTGTCTTATGTGGGAGTGTGTTAATGTGGCACACCTTGAATTGTTTTAAACTCTACTTCACTTACTGTAGGAAATCCCCTGTACATGAACTTTTTTTCTTACATGATTTAAATGTACTATCCATCTAAGTCATTATCTGGCTGAAAGGTATAATTATCATTTTTAATTTTCCACTTTCTTAACAGACACCTGAAGGTTCAATGGAAAATGTCTTTCTACTGTGATTAAAGTCCTAGATCAAACACACAGGCCTACTAGGCTATCTGGCTAACCTGTTAGCTATCCATCTCCATTGACTTTTGTAATTGTTTGACCTTGAACATTTAACATGTATTTGGCTCCAGTGTTGCACAGTGGAACCATGTCCAGTCTGACAGAACTCCCCTGCTGGAAGTTGCACATCAGGTCTAAAGTGAAGCTTTTTGTTTACTGATGGTGAAACGACAGAACTGCTGGCAATTATTTGAAGGGGCAATTAGGCACTCGTGGCAACGATATAATTGTTATTACTGAGCTGCCCTCGTTGTGTCAGCCATCTTTATTACATCAAAGGGAAAGTCTAGTGAGAGGATGCTTTGATCCAATGAGGCAGTGACTCTTCATTTAAATCAATCACAGACAGAGTAGGCAACAAAAAGGAAAGGCTAAGAAACCGAATTTGATATGACCCTCGTCTCCACTAAAGTTCTACATATTGGCACAAATCTCCAAACATTTGCTGAAAGCCATTAGCACCATCGTGAAAGCTCCTAACATTTACTACACTAATACCAGCTCGGGTGTGCTAAAATTCACATTTGTTATTAAAACTATGTGCATATATAAGTTTAAACTGTTTGATAAACAAGAACACCTTGGTTACAAAGAAGCAACTTTCAATTTATTTACAATAAAAATAGAAGTGTAAACATTATAAATTTGTAATTAAAAATATATATTGTAAAACCTAGAATTAGTTAACCCTTAATCGTTTGTCTGTACCAACACTGTAAATATGGTGTCTGGACCTAAAATCTGTGGACTGTTGCTGGCCAACCTAATAAGAAATTAAAGTCCAGCTCCATTACAAGTCCTGGATCTGGCCCGGGATGTTGTAACATTCATTTGGTCCAGAGGAGTTGAAGGGCATCATGTCTAATGAAATCTCTGCCTCGTACTGAAGGATGTCAGGAAGCAGCAACAATGAGTTCCTCTGGTTCCGTGATTCATCTGAAACCACAGAGACGTTGTCAAAGTTCTGCTCATCTCCTGTGTTGGGTAGAGGAGCAGGAGCAGCTGTTATGAATCTCTGAACTCCAGGCCCCTGCGCCTCCTTTTGCAGGGTGGTGTCATGCTGATATGACACCAGCTCGTTGCTCAGGTCCAGGGCCTCCACCGTGGATGAGGAGCAGCATCTGTTGCAGCCCAGTATGGTGGAGAAGGCTTTTCGGAAATCTGCGTTGAAGGCGTATATTACTGGGTTCAGGGAAGAGTTGGCCCAGCCGAACCAGAAAAATATGCTGAAGGTGGTGTCACTGACACATGGGGGCTCTCCAACCTTTTCAGGGTCACAGAAAGGTACCACACAGTTAAGGACAAAGAATGGTAGCCAGCAGAACACAAACACTCCCACAATAATAGACAAAGTCTTCAGGACCTTTGTTTCTCTCTTGAAGGAGGTTTTAAGCGAACTTTCGTCGTGTGTTGATCCCCGGTGCAGTCTTTGATTTTGAACACGAGGTCCCCCAGCCCTCTCTAATGATGAAATCCTTCTGATTTGAGTTTGTGCAATGCGGAAGATACGAGTGTACGTTCCCACCATGATAAGGACAGGAATATAAAAGCTAATGAGAGACGAGGAGATGGCATAGGTCCGATTAAGGCTAGCATTGCAGTCATCCAAGTTGTCCGTGGTCAGGTTGTCTACATGTGCACGATGCCAGTTGAGCTGAACAGGGATGAAGGATATGAGGATGGAGACAGTCCAGGCCACGCCAATCATAAGGAAGGCAAATCTGCGGGTCATCCTGCGCTCATACCTGAAGGGACTGGAGATGGCCCAGTAACGGTCCAGGCTGATGACACACAGATTAAGGATGGAAGCTGTGGAGCACATGATGTCAAAGGCCACCCAAGTGTCACAGAAGTCTCCAAAGAGCCATATGCCGGCCACCTCTGACACGGCTCTCCATGGCATCACCAGAACTGCCACAAACAGATCTGACACCGCAAGAGAAATAACAAAGGAGTTGGTGACTTTGGAACGCAGGTGTCGAAACTTGATGACAGCAACACAAACTAAAGTGTTCCCCAGCAGCGTAGAGACAATCAGGACACAGAGGACGCATCCAGTGAGAGCACGGAGACTCAGACGTCCTCCATCATCAATACCATCGTCACTTTCATCTTCAACAGGCAACAAAGGACCACTCTCTGCTCCTGCTGTAACCTGGACCCTCAGCTCATGTGAATCCTCCTGCTGCTCCTTCTGGTTCAGGAGCTCCATGATGTTCAGACGTGTTCTATGTCCAGCTACGGCAACAGCAACTATCACTAAACTGAGTGTCAGCTCCACACCGACTTTCCCTGTGCTCCGCCCCTGACCACTTCATCATCATCAGTCATCATCATCATCACCATCACCGTCATTGTCTTCACTGTCACAGATGATTATCAATTACGTATTCAGTATCAGACTGAAAGTTAAAAAACATGATCAGATTTTATAAATCAGCATAAAAGATTTAGGGTTACTGGCTTTTAATAATTGATCATAAGGATATGGATCTGCCTCTTTTATAGAGTAAGAACGTAATGCAATACAGCAGCAACTAAAAAACAAAAAAGACATTTTAGATCTTATAAATGTATCTAGTTTTTTTCAATATGGTTCAAACACATTTTGTCTTAAGAAATATTTTGGTCAAAATAAATCTATGTAACCACTTGTAAGGACATAGTGAAGCGAGTCACACGTGCCCTCTTGTGGACAAATGTTCAAAGCACCAAAGTATACCGAGGCATGTTAGATCTTATTAAATGAGATTAGATTAGAAATCATATCAATTATATAGATTCTTGAGGTGTAAGTACTTTCAATTGAATTAAATTAAATAACGGGAGAAAAATCCACTCCAATGCCTTTAAAATATAATAATATATAGCAAGAGAGTGAAGCGTGTCACTTCTGCCCTCTTGTGGACAAATGTTCAAAGCACCAAAGTATACTAAGATGTTAGATCTTAAAGACATTAAAAATCATATCGATTATATAGATTTTTGAGGTGTAAGTAGTTTCAACTGAATTATAGTAGGGAACGCCTTTAATATATATATATATATATATACATCCAAACAGCCAAAGGAATTTGAAAAGAAGAAATAAACCTGCTCTGTATATTATGTAAAACGTATGACGTAAGACCAAAGCAACGACGTAAGCCACAATTAAAACGTTGTACAATTTAATCTTTCATTTGTTAAAATAGACTCGTTAACTATTTACCGCTTTATATTTGTTACTAGTAAGTAATGGGTTATGGTTTCAAGAAGTTATGACGTCATTGTCATCTGTGTGCGTGAGTGTGCGTGCGCGCGCGTAGATGATTCAGCAGTCGCTCCTCCTCCTCTGGGCATGCGCAGCAGCCGCACGAGCGGCTCTTATTTTGACATTAAGTGAAACAGGGTCGTGTTTTCTAGAGGTAACCCGTGCAGGTAACCGACAGAGACCCCGTGTCTCTGCTGTGACTTGTGGAACAGGGGACCGAATCTCGGGCCTTAACAGAGACAGACCGAGGACGGGAGGACGGGATTACGGCAGCGAAATCACCGGAGGGCTGTAACCGCTGTTGTATGCCCTTTTCTGTCCTCTCCTCCTCAAAGCTCCACTGCTCCTGTTTTATTTATTTTAAATAACCGTCTTTTTCCCATCCCCGCTTATTTCTTTGTCGGATTTAACCAGAACCAGTGAGTGTAAAAACCCAGAAGCAGGTTCCGTTGGATTCGTTGGATTCATTGGCTTCAACCGCCGTAGTGCTTCCGCCGTCAGCCTCTGATGCTCCATCCACCCGGCAGGTGAGTTGAAAAAATGCCAAAAACACCCTTAAACTAAATATTATGGTGGCTTAGCACTTTAACCAAATAAAATAAAAACACACCCACAAGTTTTATTAACATCGATGTCATCTGGCTCGTCTAACGCTCCTTTCGACAGGCAGGTGACTTCGTACAAAACCAACACACCTATAATCGATAACCGACGGATAGATTTCATGATATGTTTATGTTGTCATGGCCTTGATTCGATTTCCCTCGTGTTTAGAGTGGAAACAGAGCTCTAACTGTAAACTACACCTAACCACAGTTGACATGTCGACCCTGACTTCAGTTACAACCCACATCTTAAAGGTGCACTGTGTCATTTTATAGAAAAATGATTTCCATCAGCGAAAATGTGAAATGTAAATGATTTATTGATGCCACGCATGTTCAGATATTCGTTGTCATTTTTCAATATCTTTTATTAGGCCCCTTATTTATTTGTTATTATTATTTATGTATTCATGAATTATATCTGATTTTTCTATATGTTAGGACACAAACGATGTCTGAAAGATGTTGGCTGTTTGACTGAGAGAGAACCAAAACAGAACCCAAGTTTGGCGGCTGGTCCTGAAAGTTTGTTTTTTTTCAGTGTAGTGTTTCGTTACATTAACATTATGAATTAATAGAGACATTCTAAATACTTTAGGGTTTTAGCTAAGTACCTCTGCACAAATGCATTATGTGCTTGAAGCAGTCATTGCTGCTAGGATTCCGAGGAGCTAAGAAGGAATGAGAGTATAATGATTCTAAAGAATGTAAACAATGGGGACAAGGACATGAGGAATGTTGTTGTTTCATGATGAATGTCCAACTACTTACTAATTTTCTTCTTTTATTTAGAAATAAAATGCTGCCACAGAGGGATTTTTATTCATGACTTTTTTTTCTTTCTTATTTTAATAAGCTACGTCAGTCATAATGGTGTGGACTTTTTCTCCTGCTCTTCGAACCTCACTCCTTGTTCATTCTCTTTCCCAGCTGGAAGTCTGAGAGACATTTAAAACCAGGCTCCTCCACAGTTTGATGATGGTGCCACCCATCTTTGTCCTTGGTGTGGGTTGTGTTTTATACTCCAAATGGGGCTGAAGCTGTGGCAGAGACAGGGTTCATGCTGGTGCTTAAAATCCCCGATGGTGTGTTTGGAAGTTGTTTTGATGTTGGATGAAGTATTTGAAGACTGGTGGTTTAACTGTTCATTTTTAGTCACAGCAGTTGTTGAAAAAACATCATCATAATTCCATTAATACAGAAAAGTTAGACAAACTATCCAGGATTTTCAAGGTGAGAAAGGTCATGGGATAGGGTTGGTAGTGGGGGGGTCTTGAAAGTTTTGGAAAAGAGAAAACATGATTTTCAGCTTTCTGATATTTGAGGAGGTCTATCAATTTACAGACTTTTACACATAAACACCACTTAAAGATTACCAGGCTAGACGTGTGTGTGAAAAGATGTGTGAGGGGCATGTGTGAAACGCTAAACTGATGCCAGTTTATTATCAAACAAAAAAAAAACATGGCTGTAAATGTGCAGGTGAAACTGTTAAGAGTCTGTCTCTGCAAACACAGAATTATGGGAGTTATGAGCCCGGTCTGAGAGTTTGGTGTTACAGAGTTGTTTAACCAGACACCTGAGTGTGTATGTAGCTCCACAGATCAGTTAGTTTCAGGTGTGAGTCTTGTGTTTTTTTTTCTTTGTGAACCTGAAGCCCAACCAAGTTAAACTATCACAATCAATCCAACCCTACCTTGGTCCCTCCCAGGAGTCTGACCTTCAGGTATGGACACTCCTTTAAACGGTAACAGTGACTCAGACCTGCTGCTGGGACTTTGTCTTTCTGTGGTTCATTACCGTGAAGCTCTTGGCCGTGACTTTAACAACCATGGTTTAAAGTGCAATCATCACTCAGCCTCCCGGAGAGTGTTCTCTTTTCTATATAAATTTTCCTCTGTTGCTGATTCACTGTCTCTGTCAGAACAGCTACTCTGTTATCGTTCTGTCTGGTCTTCACTGGGTTAAGTCCCCAGCGGGATCTGCCTTTGAGCAAAGCCCCAAATCTCAGGGTTGGTTGTCATACAAACCACAATACAGTGATAAAGTCAACTTTTCTAAAGGCAGCACACTATCTGAGGAACACGGCTTGTTTCATATTGTTTTTACTTTAGCTTAATTTTCCTATCAGCTGCTGTTCACAATGACTTAAATAAAGATCTCTACCATCTTCTGTTTACAAGAGCGAGAGGGTTTTAAACTCTAGTTTCCTGCTGCCCAGCCTGTGTGCTAAAGCAGTGTGTCTATGTGTGTGTGTGTTATATCAGAGGCCACTTTTTCTCATCAGACCGCCTTTGCAGCAGAAGCAGCAGCCACGGCAGCAGCAGAGAAAGAGCTGCTTTGTGGCAGATTAATGGAGGTGCATTAGAGGCAGTGAAGCTGCTGCACAACACTGAGGCCGTCTCTGCCAAGTTGTTAAAGGACCTATAGAAGACGAAGGGTCCTGGCAGTAAAGAGCCCTCTGGCTTCAAACCCCTGCTCTCTGCTGAGAGAAGTGAAACCGCTGAGAAGCTGAAATTAAAAAGTGTTTGATCTGGAGACTGGTGAACTGTGTGTGTATGTACAAGTGTGTGTACGAGTGTGTGTTATTAGAGTCAGCCAGTGTCTAGGCCTCAGCCAGTTTGTCTCCTTCTTATATTTAGAAAAGCCACTTATAGATGGTGTGATAATGTTACTGCAGTGTGACATCATCATCTTCATCGTTTGGTTTCCTCTCTGTCTGAGACAGCCAGTAAAAAAAATAATAACAATATAATAATAATAACAAGAATGGAAACAAAAGCTCAATGATGAAGGTGTAGGAAATTAAAGAGAGGAGGAGGTCACGTTCCTCTGCCACTACTAAATGGCTTCATCCTGTCATAATGAGCATGAAAGAGAGGCCACAGAGGTCACTACAAAAGAGCAGAACGAGGACGTGATGAAGAACAAGGTCATTCATCCACAGTCTCCCAGAATTCTTTATTGTTGTTCTATGGAGGATGAACTTTCCGCCACTCAGATGGCATGTTAAAATAATGGATTCAAAGCTCGCGCACGCACCCACACACGCGCTCACACAGTCTGAATGGTGTACAGTTCAGGCTAAATGAATATGAACAAATTATCCACAACCGAAGGAGATGGAATCGCTTCATGTTTGACAGGAGCTCTTGGTCACCTGGTGGACCTGTAGCTGTGACCTTACTTTGACCTCTCACCTAATAAAATGTTGTTGTTTTTGTTTTTGTTTTTTTCTTTTGGGCATGTTCCTTCTTTTAAAATGTTGTGATTTTGAAGGAAAAGCCCAGAAAACAGTTTCCAACAGTACCTGTCACTAACACAAAGGTGTGGTGACTGGTGCATCAGTTATTTCACAGTTTGATGTCAATGCTGTCACTCACGCAGCTGTTCAGGCCAAGACATTAAAGCTAAACTAAAACAATAGAACAGAGGTCAAATAAACTGAACTAATCTTTCAAAAACAGGCGTGTTTGCTGTCATGAGTCTGGTTACATCACTGACCTTTAAACACTGCTTTATCCTGAGGCCTGGACACGGTGTTGATTCGGCTGTTTACACCTCATATCTTCAATTATATAACAACACACAGACACACACTGATATTATTTAAGGCAGGGATCATCATTCCCTCCTGTTCTTATTTATTGGCTCATGTGTGAGTCTTATTTAACTCATGTTAATACTGCAATCCATTCAACACAGTTACTGTGACAGTGATTTATGAAAGCTAACTCACTGCGGCTAATGTTTTTACTGTCCTTTATTCAATGAACAGACAGTATTATATTATAGGCCTGTGTTTTGACAATACTCTGGCAATGTGATAGGATATATATTGCAGTATACTGTGATACTTTAAGCATGTCAGCATAGTAAACACACAATGCTGTTCCATCCTCACATCAGGTTACTAACATTGGATATACATCTGTAATCACGAGAGAAGAAATATGAAGTTCTTTACAGCTGTTGATAATTTATCACCTTCTTATGCCGACAGAAAGGACAGACCATTTAGAGTAAATGAAGACTCAGTGATGCTGTGCAGCAGCAGCTCCTGTGGGTCAGCCTGAGCTCAGGTTACTATTGATTCATTTATCACCTGGCCAGGATGGAGGAAGATCATGTTGCATAGCTTTGACTTGTTTTGATTTTAACCTGTTTTTCATTTATCAAAAATTTAAGCCAAACATTTCCCTGCAGAGTCAGCCATCACTGGTGTAATAGTGACACCAGTGATGTCAGAGCTGTGATGTCACACAGGTACAGCCCAAGGTCTCCCTTCCTTGGTATTTTCTTTTCTTTTCTTTTTCCAGCCTATTAACTGAAACTTGAGCTGGCTGAATGGAAAGACTGAGCAGAGAGTCATCAGCTGTTTGTTGTCACTGAGAGACAAACCTGAGAGTCTGACATGAGACACATCTGAGAGAGACATAAGAGAACGGGCCTGAAGAGTTCACATGTTATTTAAGCTTCAAATTTTTAAATGGTGGAAATCTGTCAGGCTACGCTTGGCTAATGGTTCAAGTCTTGTAGTTTTTCCTTCAGTTTGACAGCATTTGTCTTTGGTTACTGTTTCTTCCTTTTGGTTTTATTCTGTTATTTATCTGGTGATGTCCTAGTTGGTGCTGAGAGAGAACATAGAGGATGTGTCTTTACATAATGACTTGTGGTTTGCCACAGTGATGGAGGAGCTGAGTCATGATGCCAATACAGCTCCATCTACAGGTTCCTCTTCAGGCTGTTCCTCCGTTGTTGCTTCAGAAACTAAATCACATGTACCTTCCACTGTTCACACCTGACCTCTGATCAGCGTCATATTCTCTGTCCTGGAGCTCTGATGTTATCTGTGAGCATGCATGCTCTTCACAAGAAATGTTCCTTCACCGATCACATGTTGCCCAGGTTTATATTAGAATGAAGAGAACCACGGTGTGATCCACAGGAGCCTGGAGCAAACACACACAGCATCTCCTCGAGATGAGGGAAGGTTTCCTGAGAACATACATCAGGTGACATATCTGCCGTTGATGGAGGTTCAAATGTTAAAGCACAACAAAGGTCAGTAACTGTGGTGTAAGACGATCAAGCTAATGATGGAGGCACACATCACAGAAGGACTCCTGTGACTCCTGCCGCTGATACAGGACGCTGTGTTAACAAATCAGACTTCACAGCCCTGGCTTTAACACAACTTACATCACAGATACACACTCACACACACACACCTACTCCTTGATGAAGGGTCACCTGCATCACATGCTGAGACATGACATCATCACATCACTGGCCCTTGCATTATTATGCAACACGTTTTCACTTGTGTAAAACTGAAACAAGCCAGTCTTGTTTTTTTCTGCCTCTGGGTGTGTATCCTCATACCTGTGTGTGTGTGTGTGTGTCTGTGTGACGGCTGACGGGTGTGTCTTGTGAAGCAGTGGTCAGATTGTTATCAGTCATTTTCTGCTGATTGCTTTTATTAGGGGTGTGTCTTATCTGTGTGTGTGGTGGTTATAACATTCACACACAGTGCCGACTGTTGTAGCCTCACTTCAACCCATGAGTTTCATGAGGGAGGCACAATAGGAGTTTTGTTTGTGAGCTTCTAAGATTCCTTCAAAGTGTCCACCGACTCTGTGAAGAGTGTTTGAGTGGGAGATGATGGTGATTAACCACGATCGTTTGCGACTAATCGGTTGCCATCCTGTGATTAATTGGCTTCTGGATTATAATCATTGGACTGTCCTAGTGTTACCCATGAATGAATCATATATCAAGTGTCTCATTACATCCCTAATTAGGGTCTATGTTAACATCATATAAAACAGCATATTCCTCTATGCCTGAAAAATACCCTTGAAAGAAACAAGTGATTTTTTTCTAACTATCTTTTCTGTGCCTGCAGATTCTCTGGCTCTGTTTCTCTGGTGGTGAAGAGGGTGGGGTCTTATGTCAGCCCCTCCTCTGTGTCTTGTCGACCCTCCTGTCATGCCCACCACGATGTCCAGGCTGCCAAAGTTCAGCTCACGACCCAAATCCTCCACATCGTCCAGCAGCTTACAGTCAGCCCCCGCCTTGGCCACAGCTGCTGGCACTTTGAGCAGCTCTGCTGTGGCCAGCACTCGTCTCACCAACGGTTTCTACCACCATCCTGGTCCGGCAGGAGTCAATGGCTCTGTGAATGAACCTGCATCTTCTCTGAAGCCAAATGGAATGATCAGAGCCCCTTCTTCCTTCTCCATGAAATGGAGAAAGGACAATGGGACGCAGGGGGAGTCGGGGGCTGACACGGAGATGGAGAGGAAAAGTGAGAAACCAGGGAGGGGTGGACCGAGTCACTCTGGGAATAACCTGTCCCAGCATTATTCACAACGGCAGCCGGGATCGCCAAAAAACACCAAGGCTGCAATGAAAGGGC